AGACCCAACTAAAAAGAGAACTATAGTCCGATCTCCCTAATGAACACAGATGCAAAAATCCTCAATAAAATATTGGCAAATAGGATGCAGCAAATCATCAAAAAGATTATACACCATGACCAAGTGGGATTCATCCCAGGAATGCAAGGTGGGTTCAACATACACAAATCAATAAATGTAATCCACCATATCAATAAAGCCAAAAATAAGAATCACATGATTATTTCTATAGATGCAGAAAAAGCCTTCGATAAGGTCCAACATTTAATCATGATAAGAACTTTACAGAAAATTGGAATAGATGGTCTCTACCTCAATATAATAAAGGCCATTTATGGAAAACCAACAGCCAGCATCATACTAAATGGCCCAAAATTGAAAGCCTTTACTTTAAAATCAGGCACAAGACAGGGATGTCCTTTATCACCACTCCTATTTAATATAGTACTGGAAGTACTACCCAGAGCAATTAGGCAAGAAAGAGAAATAAAAGGGGTAAAGATAGGAAAAGAAGAAGTTAAATTATCCTTGTTTACAGATGACATGATACTCTACATAGAAGACCCCCTAAACTCCATTGAAAGACTCTTAGATACAATAAATAAATTCAGTAATGTGGCTGGATACAAAATCAATACTCAGAAATCAATAGCATTCCTATACATGAACAAAAAAATCACAGAGAGGGAAATAAGAGAAACTGGACTATTCACATTAGCAAGCAAAAAATGAAATATTTAGGAATTACTGTTACGAAAATAGTGAAAGACTTATACAGTGAAAATTATAATACAATGAAAAAGGAAATTGAGGATGATCTCAGAAAATGGAAAGACATCCCTTTCTCATGGATAGGAAGGACAAACATTGTGAAGATGGCCATTCTCCCAAAACTCTTATACAGATTCAATGCAATCCCAATAGAAATACCATCAACTTACCTTATAGATCTAGAGAAATCACGCCTAAATTTCATCTGTAACCAGAAGAGACCTAGAATCGCAAAGGCAATTCTAAGCAGCAAAGACAAAGCAGGAGGCATCACAATCCCTGACTTGAAGTTATACTACAAATCAACAGTAGTAAAATCAACAGGGTATTGCAATCAAAACAGAGCCGAAGATCAAGGGAATAGATTAGAAGATACAACCACAACCACAAACACACTCAACTACCTTATCTTTGATAAAGGAGCCAAGCAGGTTCATTGGAAGAACAACAGTCTCTTTAATAAATGGTGCTGGAAAAACTGGCTCTCCATTTGCCAAAAACTAAAGGTAGACCCATGTCTATCACCATGCATTAAATTAAAATGTAAATGGGTCAAAGATCTGAATATTAAAACAGAAACCCTAAATCTATTGGAAGACAAATTGGGTAGAAACCTTGGAGACATAGGAGTAGGTAGAGAATTCATGAACAGGACTCAAACCGCACAGGAAATACTTCCCAGAATCAATAACTGGGACCACTTCTAATTAAAAAGTTTCTGCATGTCAAAATAAATCTCCAGCATAGTGAAAAGAAAACCCACTAACTGGGAAACGATTTTAGTGAACTCTCTCTCAGACAAGGGCCTCTTGTCTAAAACATATAAAGAATTAGAAAAAACTCAGACCTCCAAAATTCAAAGATCCAATCCAAAAATGGGCAACTGAGATGAATACGCAATTCTCAGATGAAGAAATGCAAATGGCAAATAAATACATGAAAAAATGTTCATCATCATTGGTCATTAGAGAAATGCAAATTAAAACCACACTGAGATACCATCTCACTCCTGAAAGAATGGCCAGGATCAAGAAAACCAACAACAATAAATGCTGGAGAGGCTGTGGGTTAAAAGGAACTCTCCTGCACTGTTGGTGGGAGTGTAGACTGGTACAGCCTTTGTGGAGGTCTGTCTGGAGATTTTTCAAAAAGTTGGGATTGGAAATCCCATTTATTCCAGATCTTCCACTTCTAGGCATATTCCCAGAAGAACTGAAAGCATCATACCACAGTGATATATGTACACCTATGTTTATAGCAGCACAATTTGTAATCGCCAGATCTTGGAAACAACCCAAGTGACCATCAACTGAGGAATGGATAAAAAAGTGTGGTATTTCTATACAATGGAGCATTATTCAGCTATAATGAAGGATCACATTGAGATATTTATCAATAAATGGGCGCAGTTTGAGACCATACTCATAAGTGAAATAAATCAATCTCGCATGTGTGAATACCGAATAGTCTCCCTAATGTAAGTAATGATTCAAATATATAAAAATATGTGGTAATCATGATTCCCAATTATGTGGCCTTGAAGCCTTATAAAGTTTCACTTATTAATTGGAATGGCTTTATTCTGGGCTTCTTGATACGGAAATATTTGAAGCTATAGTATATGAAGTTTTATTCAAATATTTCAAGGAAAAAGACAGACACTATGGTAACTATTATTAAGTCGGGTTATTTGGTGGTGAAGCACTAGGTTGCTGAAACAGTCTTGCTTTGACCTGTATTGTTATATTGTTATTTCCTCTTTTATCTCAATCTCTCCCTTACTCATTAAAAAATTATTTATGTTTTTATGGTTTTTTAATTAAGGGGAAAATTAAAAAAATAGCAGGATATATAATAGTAACTTTTTTTGATTTCCTATTAACTTGTTTTGAAGTCCTGTAATACTCCCACGATCTTGTTTTGACTGATTAGACTCTGTTCCATTCTGTATGATAGTATCAAGTTTGAGGGTATAGACAACTACTTTGAAGGCAATAAGATTCACTAAGATGCCCATTCGGGTTTGACTATTGTCTCCTTTGGAAGTCCTGTAATGTTTACAATGCCTAAGTTTTATTGGTCCTGTTCTCAACTGTTTTGTTCAACTTTATAATATCAAATGAGATAGACAATTCTTTTTAAGGCAACAAGAGACATCGTTGATAATCATTGTTGATAACCTTGTACTCTGTTTTACATCATGTGCTATGTCTATCCTTGGTTTTGACTGACAGCTTCGTTTTTCCATGTTTGACTTTATTCTCTCCCCCCAAAAAAGTAATAAGAACTAAGGAGTAATAAAATCCAAAATGTGTAAATTTTGTTGTAAAAAAGAGAGGGAAAAAAAGAGCTCTAAAGGATATAACAGCAAGTGTGTTTAGGGGTGTTAAATAGCTGACTATATTAATTTTTTTTGTTCATTGAACTCAGCTGTTGGCAGTCTCACTGTTTGAATGTCCACTTTGTATTCTTTGATACTGTGATTTGGGCAACTATTTCTAAGATGATAATGTGTAACTATTAACAGGTGATTTCTTACTGTTTTCTATTTTTATTTTTTTTGTAGTTCTGTATTACATGTACCCTTACACAGCTTTGTTTTGTTTTGTGTTTTTGTCTTTTTCCTTTTAAATAAATTTAAAAAAATAAATTACTTCACTGATTTCAGCAATATTATTCATTAGATTGGCAAGCGTACTTAGAAGAGGAAATGATGATTTTTTCTAATCTTGATTTCCTCTTATAAGGATGTTACTGTTAGAGCCATAACTTTATCAGTAACAAAGATGTGAAGGAAATCTTCATCTTGAAGGTTTATGATAAATAAACCATTGCCTCTAGCACACTTCTGACAGTCAGTTGGCATTTTTCTTTAACTTCCTCTGTTTTACAATTTTTACTATTTGTTTTTTCAACTGTCAAGTTTTTCTATAACTACTTGTTCAGGAATTAAAAGATAGTTTAGAGGTACTATGAAGATATTTCAGCATCACATGTCTACATATTACACAACTTTAGCAAGGCCAGTTCTTCACTGTCTGAGTTGACGCTGTCATATTTCATTTGATGATCACGTGTACTGGTTTGTGGCTTTAATTGAGGTAAAACCCATTGTGAGCTGAGACAGGCCGTCTATAGCACACATTTAATGACTTCCAGTACACTTCAGGGCAGTGCCCCTCACATGCTTGTAGCTCCCAGAGCGGGAGCCGGTGCACTCACGGCATCATGAGCAGTCAGGTCTGCTTCCCTACACTTAACTCAGCCTTTGACACTCACTATTCTGCTTTGTCTATGGAATCTTCTGCTCTGCTTACCACACATCAAGGACACTACAAAATATATGACATTATGTGACTGCCTCCTTTGACATGTATAGAAATTTCCACATTTGACACGTTGTAATGTGTGTCGGTTCTTTATTTTTCTTTGTAAATAACACTTTACTGGATGAGTATGTGCAATGGTTCTGAACCATTTACCGAAGGACTTAGGGATTTCTCCCATTTTGGGCTACTGTAAATACTGTATTCGTTGACATTCTTGTACAATTACGTGCCTCATGCTTGCTTTGACATTTGAAGGACTCTACACTGGGAATGGAAATTTTGGGGCATATCTATTTCACTGAAAATTTGCCCATAAAATGCCAGTATTTTTGAGTGTCCCATAAAGAAATAGATGCAAAGTGAGACTGTAATGATAAGTAACATAATTCAGGTAAAACCTCACAGGGATCCTCCTGCTTGCAAACTCTATATGAGTACAAAAGCAAAAGAAAGGTGCATGATAGGAAAGAGACAGACAGAGAAAATAGCACTACTTTACTTTTCCCCTGAGAATATACCCGTTTAAATTTTGGTGCCCTGTTTCCAACACTTCCTCTCAATTTTTTTGTTCATAAATTCTCAATAGTGCGTGTGAGTAGTGTTTCCTCACAACCAATATCTGCATCTCTCTATTCCTGTCCCTGTGCCTTCAGGGTCCTGGCCATAAAGAAATAAATACAATGGCAAATTGATGTGAGACTCACTTTGCTCTAACTTCTAACTATGGAGCAAGAAGCTCTGAAAAACAGGAAATGTGTCCTGCCTCTAATCTCATGTTACCCTTCCAAGCATAGCTACTAATTATCTGCTGAACACTGCAGAGCACTCAATGAATATCAGTGATATTAGAATCATTTTTGTTTCTATTTGATTGTGAGTTTGTTATGTTTATATTTTCAGAACAACTCAGAAAAGAGAATGGTAAATTTTAATAATATTTTATGTACTAATTACAATCTTCCTACAGTTATTTGTAATCATTTTGTAATCCTTCCTTCTTGATATTTTTGAAAAAAGTATCTATTTGTGATTTTGATTCATTCTTAGTTTAAAAAAACCATCATTCATCTTGTTTCTGCCTCTGTCACTCTCTCTCTTTATCATTTACTATCTCATTCACTATCTTTATATTCTAATACTTCCGTTGATTTATTTTTCTAAAAGTGCTAGTTTTTGATCATTTGTCATTGCATTTATATGATATTTCACTTATTCCATCAATATCTGTTTTGCAGAAACACTTCAAACAGAACATGGTGAGTTTCAAATGTTCATCCACTTTGATTAAAGATACTAAAAATTGACACCAAATTGTAAGCAATACTAAAGGAGCAAAAGGTATCCTCATTTTGTACGTCATAGAGTAAATAGGGTAGTGTCTCTTGTGCCGCTGTACTACTAATCATCCATTTTGTTTAATTTCACCTATATGTAAGATTTTTTCTGTTGAATTTCAACTGCCGTTTTTCTCTAAACACTTGTTCAGAAACATGCAAGGTATGTTAAACAGAAGTATACAGTTTGATCTTGAGGAACATAAAAATTAAGAAATTTACACAAAACGGTTCTCCATTTCATGGAAGAATCACTCATTTCAGTTGAAGTTGAAGATCACTTCTATTGCCTAGCTATGTTTACTCACGTAAATTTCGTACAGAATGAAAATACTCCTGTGAAGTGTACAGTCCATTGACACGTTGCACATTCAAAGTGCTGTATAGTCCTTCACATACCTCCCTGAGAGTCAGTATGCAAAACTGACTCCAGCTCACAAGAAGACACTTGTGGTTGCTCTGAGAACACCTTTTCCGCTCTGTCTCTGGGAATTTAGCTACTGGGGTTTCCTCATTACACTGTCAGGCTGTGAACATCTGAGTCAGGCTTCTTGCCTGTGTACACAGTTATCCAAATTCATTAGGTGGTAACTTCCATCAATACTTGCCATCTTGTCATGGCAGATTACCATTCAGTAAGTACATATATCTGAATACCCGAGACATATCTATGTGAAACCCTTTCTCTGTTCACCTCATGATGGACACTGGGACTTCAGCAGCTTGAGACCTCGGTGCACCCTATCACACAAGAGCAGGTTGAGTACCTGCTTTAAATTTGAAGGAGCCTATGACCGGGGATGGAATTGTCATGTCACTGTGTTTCTTTATATATATATATATATATATATATATATATATATATATATATATCCTGAAATGTATCCTGGTTCAATGGCTCTATTTTTGAGCCAATTGAAGAAAAACAGATGCACCTTGAATCCAAACACTCAAGTGAAGTAAAACTGACTCAGAAGCGTAAATACCAGAGCATTTATCTCATATAAGAATCTTACTACCTATACCCAGTTCTAAAGGAAAGACAGACAATCAGAAACAAAGAGATAGGTTAATAGCACTATTTCATTTTTCCAGTAGGGTAGTACAAAATATGACTTGTTTACATTCTCTCAGGACTCTTACATGTTTCTGTTTATCCAGAAGGGCCACCTTAGTACCTCTCAGATGGTGTATTACTGCTTCGATTTGCATCTTCAATGTCACAAGAGACCCTGGGCACCTTTTTATGGGCCTGTCCCTTTTTCCCTCTTCTTGGCAGAAACATCCATCTTCCGTCCTTCTTTATGTTTCTGAAAGGAACTGTTATTTTTTGTCCTTAAGGTCAAAGTGGACATTTTCAATTACACACTTTGTAAATTTTTATTACATTCAATGTTTCAATTTGTCTTTTGTTGCTTTGTCCTCATTTACATTTTTAAACCTCCACTCCAAAATCAAAGGGCATCAAAAATATCACATTGCATAATTCGCAGTTGATTTTTCTCCAAAGTTATTTCAGTTAAAATATTTAATATTCTTCTTTCTTCAGTTTGAGTCATCTCTTTTGATGTAGGAAAATGCTAAAGATGTGAATCAGAGGCTCTTTTATACAACAGAGAGTTTTTTTGTCAGCAGCAATTTTTCTCGGATTTGTGGTCATTTTCAGAGGACATTAACTACATGTACAATGCAACATGGTAATGAAAGTGTCTTACTTAACACAGAGTCCTCTTGATGTGGTAAAAGTTTTCTCTGTAAAATTAAAATACGCAAACAACTTATATTCTCTCCACTAGTTTATATTTAAATACACTCTGAAAAATGGAATGTTTACAACTCATTGCAGTACATTATTGCAAATCGATAGCAAACAGAATTTTAATTTTTACACTTTTTCAATTTATCTGATTATATGAGTTTCATTTTGAAGATGACAACAAACCTAGAGAATGAGTGTGATTGTAACTAAGAGAAATGATGCTGAAAACTTAGAGGTGACAGTAAATGAATGAGGTATCAGTACAAAGCAGAGAACCAGTTGAGCAACATAGAAGAAATGATGAAATAAATTGTGTCATAAAAAAAAAAACAAAAAAAAACATGGCAAGTTCTGCACTTATCTATGTAAACGTTGACGGGGTGTTAGTACCTCCTGTAGAGTTTAGTCATGGGGTCAGTCACAACCAATGACATGAATTTCCTCACCGGACTTCACGGGTGCGTAATCTTACTACTCAGAAAGCTGTATAGCACACAAAACTCAGCTCACAAATACTTCTTTGTAATGATTAAATTGCTCTGAATATGTTTCATAGCCTGCTACTTAGAAGTGCTACAAAATAGTGTCTGTCAGTATAGGTAGTCATCCTACAGTGATCCTTAATGTTTATCAGGCCACTTTCACAGACTAAGGTTGTCAAATTCTCTTGAAGGGAATATACATCTAAATATTAATGCATCACCAACTCAAGTTTGGAAAGACATGTTCGTAATGAAAGATGAAAGGCTATTTTTCAATAAAGCTTGGAGTTACGCAGGTGATATATAGACATAATATTTGTTATATAAAATGAACATTTGACAATAGTAGATGATGACAAGATTCATCTACCACAAAAAAGAAATATTAGAGTATGTGTCTGGTTCACACTCTGCTCTCACAGAATTGTCGATGTCATCACTGTTCCTTCAGGGACCCAGCCAAAATAAATACATAAAATGGCAAAATACTGTCAGAGTCCCATTGCAGAAATTTTTAAATTCGAGGTCAAGAAATTGTAAAAATTAACAAGACCGGTGCTGTTCCTCTAATCTCGTGGTATGCTTCCACCCGTGCTTGCTAATTTAATTTCTGAGCATGGTAGATGGTAAACACGATGCCTTTTAAAGCATTTGAATAAAGCCTGGTGCAGAGGAGCATCAAGAACTATCAATCACATTAGAATCACTTTGTTTATATTTCACTGTTATTTTTGTATGTTTTTATTTTATGAGATCAACTCAGAATAGAGAAGGGTGAGTTTTAATAATGCTTTAAGTACAAAACACAACCTTCATACAGGTATGGATGACTATGGTTTTATCTGTATACTATTCATTACTACTTTCTATGACTATTAGTAATTTTTATCTATTTTAATATCAAAAATTCTTAACATATTCTATCATTAATTTCTTCTGTAAAACTGAGTTCACTTTTCCCCACAACTATTATTTGATCATTATGGATTGCAATTATAAATTACTTCACTGATTTCAGTAATATTCTTCATTAGTTTGGCAAGTGTACTTAAAAGAGAAAATGATGATTTTATCCAATCTTGAGTTCCTATTATAAGGATATTACCGTTAGAGCCATAACTTTATCAGTAACAAAGTTGTGAAGGAAATCTTCATCTTCAAGGTTTACGATAAATAAACCATTGCCTCTAGCGTACTTCTCATACTCAGTTGGCATTTTTCTTTAACTTCATCTGTTTTAAACCTTTTGCTGTTTGTTTTGTCATCTGCCAAGATTTTCAGTAACTACTTGTTCAGGAATTAAAAGATAGTTTAGAGGTAACCATGAAGATATTTCAGCATCACATATCTACATATTACACAACTTAAACAAGGCCAGTTCTTCACTGTCTGAGTTGACGGTGTCATATTTCATTTGATGATCACGTGTACTGATTTGTGGCTTTAATTGAGGTGAAACCCATTGTGAGCTGAGACAGGCCGTCTATAGCACACATTTAATGACTTCCAGTACACTTCAGGGCAGTGCCCCTCACATGCTTGTAGCTCCCAGAGCGGGAGCCGGTGCACTCACAGCACCATGAGCAGTCAGGTCTGCTTCCCTACACTTAACTCAGCCTTTGACACTCACTATTCTGCTTTGTCTATGGAATCTTCTGCTCTGCTTACCACACATCAAGGACACTACAAAATATATGACATTATGTGACTGCCTCCTTTGACATGTATAGAATTTTCCACATTTGACACGTTGTAATGTGTGTCGGTTCTTTATTTTTCTTTGTAAATAACACTTTACTGGATGAGTATGTGCAATTGTTCTGAACCATTTACCTATGGACTTAGGGATTCCTCCCATTTTGGGCTACTGTAAATACTGTATTCATTGACATTCCTGTACAATTACGTGCCTCATGCTTGCTTTGTCATTTGAAGGACTCTACACTGGGAATGGAAATGTTGGGGCATATCTATTTCACTGAAAATTTGCCCATAAAATGCCAGTATTTTTGAGTGTCCCATAAAGAAATAGATGCAAAGTGAGACTGTAATGATAAGTAACATAATTCAGGTAAAACCTCACATGGATCCTCCTGCTTGCAAACTCTATATGAGTACAAAAGCAAAAGAAAGGTGCATGATAGGAAAGAGACAGACAGAGAAAATAGCACTACTTTACTTTTCCCCTGAGAATATACCCGTTTAAATTTTGGTACCCTGTTTCCAACACTTCCTCTCAATTTTTTTGTTCATAAATTCTCAATAGTGCGTGTGAGTAGTGTTTCCTCACAACCAATATCTGCATCTCTCTATTCCTGTCCCTGTGCCTTCAGGGTCCTGGCCATAAAGAAATAAATACAATGGCAAATTGATGTGAGACTCACTTTGCTCTAACTTCTAACTATGGAGCAAGAAGCTCTGAAAAACAGGAAATGTGTCCTGCCTCTAATCTCATGTTACCCTTCCAAGCATAGCTACTAATTATCTGCTGAACACTGCAGAGCACTCAATGAATATCAGTGATATTAGAATCATTTGTGTTTCTATTTGATTGTGAGTTTGTTATGTTTTTATTTTCAGAACAACTCAGAAAAGAGAATGGTAAATTTTAATAATATTTTATGTACTAATTACAATCTTCCTACAGTTATTTGTAATCATTTTGTAATCCTTCCTTCTTGATATTTTTGAAAAAAGTATCTATTTGTGATTTTGATTCATTCTTAGTTTAAAAAAACCGTCATTCATCTTGTTTCTGCCTCTGTCACTCTCTCTCTTTATCATTTACTATCTCATTCACTATCTTTATATTCTAATAATTCCGTTGATTTATTTTTCTAAAAGTGCTAGTTTTTGATCATTTGTCATTGCATTTATACGATATTTTACTTATTCCATAAATATCTGTTTTGCAGAAACACTTCAAACAGAACATGGTGAGTTTTAACTGTTCATCCACTTTGATTAAAGATACTAAAAATTGACACCAAATTGTAAGCAATACTAAAGGAGCAAAAGGTATCCTCATTTTGTACGTCATAGAGTAAATAGGGTAGTGTCTCTTGTGCAGCTGTACTACTAATCATCCATTTTGCTTAAATTTCACCTATATGTAAGATTTTTTCTGTTGAATTTCAACTGCCATTTTTCTCTAAACAATTGTTCAGAAAAATGCAAGGTATGTTAAACAGAAGTATACAGTTTGATCTTGAGGAACATAAAAATTAAGAAATTTACACAAAACGGTTCTCCATTCCATGGAAGAATCACTCATTTCAGTTGAAGTTGAAGATCACTTCTATTGCCTAGCTATGTTTACTCACGTAAACTTCGTACAGAATGAAAATACTCCTGTGAAGTGTACAGTCCATTGACACGTTGCACATTCAAAGTGCTGTATAGTCCTTCACATACCTCCCTGAGAGTCAGTATGCAAAACTGACTCCAGCTCACAAGAAGACACTTGTGGTTGCTCTGAGAACACCTTTTCCGCTCTGTCTCTGGGAATTTAGCTACTGGGGTTTCCTCATTACACTGTCAGGCTGTGAACATCTGAGTCAGGCTTCTTGCCTGTGTACACAGTTATTCAAATTCATTAGGTTGTAACTTCCATCAATACTTGCCATCTTGTCATGGCAGAGTACCATTCAGCAAGTACATATATATGAACACCAGTGAAATATCTATGTGAAACCCTTTCTCTGTTCACCTGATGATGGACACTGGGACTTCAGCAGCTTGAGACCTCGGTGCATCGTACCACACAAGAGCAGGTTTGAGTACCTGCTTTAAATTTGAAGGAGCCTATGACCGGGGATGGTATTGTCATGTCACTGTGTTTCTTTATACACACACACACACACACACACACACACACACACACACACACATATATATATATATATCCTGAAATGTAACCTGCTTCAATGGCTCTATTTTGAGCCAATTGAAGAAAAACAGATGCACCTTGAATCCAAACACTCAAGTGTAGTAAACTGACTCAGAAGCGTAAATATCATATCATTTATCTCATATAAGAATCTTACTACCTATACACAGTTCAAAAGGAAAGACAGACAATCAGAAACAAAGAGATAGGTTAATAGCACTATTTCATTTTTCCAATAAGGAAGTACAAAATATGAACTTGTTTACATTCTCACAGGACTCTTACATGTTACTGTTTATCCAGCAGGGCCACCTTAGTACCTCTCAGATGGTGTATTACTTCTTCGATTTGCATCTTCAATGTCACAAGAGACCCTGGGCACCTTTTTATGGGCCTGTCCCTTTTTCCTTCTTCTTGGCAGAAACATCCATCTTCCGTCCTTTTTATGTTTCTGAAAGGAACTGTTATTTTTTGTCCTTAAGCTCAAAGTGGACATTTTCAATTACACACTTTGTAAATTTTTATTACATTCAATGTTTCAATTTGTCTTTTGTTGCTTTGTCCTCATTTACATTTTTACATCTCCACTCCAAAATCAAAGGGCATCAAAAATATCACATTGCATAATTCGCAGTTGATTTTTCTCCAAAGTTATTTCAGTTAAAATATTTAATATTCTTCTTTCTTCAGTTTGAGTCGTCTCTTTTGATGTAGGAAAATGCTAAAGATGTGATTCAGAGGCTCTTTTATACAACAGAGATTTTTTTGTCAGCAGCAATTTTTCTCGGAAATGTGGTCATTTTCAGAGGACATTAACTACATGTACAGCGCAACATGATAATGAAAGTGTCTTACTTAACACAGAGTTCTCTTGATGTGGTAAAAGTTTTCTCTGTAAAATTAAAATACGCAAACAACCTATATTATCTACACTAGTATATATTTAAATACACTCTGAAAAATTGAATGTTTACGACTCATTGTAGTACATTTTTGCAAATCGGTAGCAAACAGAATTTTAATTTTTACAGTTTTTCAATTTATCTGATTATATGAGTTTCATTTTGAAGATGACAACAAACCTAGAGAATGAGTGTGAGTGTACCTAAGCAGAAAAGATGCTGAAAACTTAGAGGAGACAGTAAATGAATGAGGTATCAGTACAAAGCATAGAACCATTTTAGCAACATAAAAGAAAAGATGAAATAAACTGTGTCATAAAAAAAAAAACATGGCAAGTTCTGCACTCATCTATGTAAACGTTGATGGGGTGTTAGTACCGCCTGTAGAGTTTAGTCATGGGGTCAGTCACAACCAATGACATGAGTTTCCTCACCGGACTTCACGGGTGCGTAATCTTACTACTCAGAAAGCTGTATAGCTCACAAAACTCAGCTCACAAATACTTCTTTGTAATGATTAAATTGCTCTGAATATCTTTCGTAGCCTGCTACTTAGAAGTGCTACAAAATAGTGTCTGTCAGTATAGGTAGTCATCCTACAGTGATCCTTAATGTTTATCAGGCCACTTTCACAGACTAAGGTTGTCAAATTCTCTTGAAGGGAATATACATCTAAATATGAATGCATCACCAACTCAAGTTTGGAAAGACATGTTCGTAATGAAAGATGAAAGGCTATTTTTCAATAAAGATTGGAGTTACACAGTTGATATATAGACATAATATTTGTTATATAAAATGAACATTTGACAATAGTAGATGATGACAAGATTCATCTACCACAAAAAAGAAATATTAGAGTATGTGTCTGGTTCACACTCTGCTCTCACAGAAATATCGATGTCGTCCCTGTTACTTCAGGGTCCCAGCCAAAATAAATACATAAAATGGCAAAATACTGTCAGACTCCCATTGCACAAATTTTTAAATTCGAGGTCAAGCAATTGTAAAAATTAACAAGACCAGTGCCGTTCCTCTAATCTCGTGGTATGCTTCCAACTGTGCTTGCTAAATAATTTCTGAGCATGGTAGATGGGAAACACGATGCCCTTTAAAGCCTTTGAATAAAGCCTGGTGCAGAGGAGCATCAAGAACTATCAATCACATTAGAATCACTTTGTTTATATTTCACTGTGGTTTTTATATGTTTTATTTTATCAGACCAACTCAGAATAGAGAAGGGTGAGTTTTAATAATGCTTTAAGTACAAAACACAACCTTCATACAGGTATGGATGACTATGGTTTTATCTGTATACTATTCATTACTACTTTCTATGACTATTAGTAATTTTTATCTATTTTAATATCAAAAATTCTTAACATATTCTATCATTAATTTCTTCTGTAAAACTGAGTTCACTTTTCCCCACATCTATTATTTGATCATTTTTGATTGCAATTATAAATTACTTCACTGATTTCAGTAATATTCTTCATTAGTTTGGCAAGTGTACTTAAAAGAGAAAATGATGATTTTATCCAATCTTGAGTTCCTCTTATAAGGATATTACTGTTAGAGCCATAACTTTATCAGTAACAAAGATGTGAAGAAAATCTTCATCTTCAAGGTTTATGATAAATAAACCATTGCCTCTAGTGCACTTCTCATACTCAGTTGGCATTTTTCTTTAACTTCATCTGTTTTAAACCTTTTGCTATTCGTTTTGTCATCTGCCAAGATTTTCTGTAACTACTTGTTCAGGAATTAAAAGATAGTTTAGAGGTAACCATGAAGATATTTCAGCATCACATGTCTACATATTACACAACTTAAAAAAGGCCAGCTCTTCACTGTCTGAGTTGACACAGTCATATTTCATTTGATGATCACGTGTACTGATTTGTGGCTTTAATTGAGGTGAAACCCATTGTGAGCTGAGACAGGACGTCTCTAGCACACATTTAGTGACTTCCAGTACACTTCAGAGCAGTGCCCCTCACATGCTGGTAGGTCCCAGAGCGGGAGCCGGTGCACTCACAGCACCATGAGCAGTCAGGTCTGCTTCCCTACACTTAACTCAGCCTTTGACACTCACTATTCTGCTTTGTCTATGGAATCTTCTGCTCTGCTTACCACACATCAAGGACACTACAAAATATATGACATTATGTGACTGCCTCCTTTGACATGTATAGAATTTTCCACATTTGACACGTTGTAATGTGTGTCGGTCCTTTATTTTTCTTTGTAAATTACACTTTACTGGATGAGTATGTGCAATTATTCTGAACCATTTACCTATGGACTTAGGGATTCCTCCCATTTTGGGCTACTGTAAATACTGTATTCGTTGACATTCCTGTACAATTACGTGCCTCATGCTTGCTTTGACATTTGAAGGAGTCCACACTGGGAATGGAAATTTTGGGGCATATCTATTTCACTGAAAATTTGCCCATAAAATGCCAGTATTTTTGAGTTTCCCATAAAGAAATAGATGCAACGTGAGACTGTAATGATAAGTAACATAATTCAGGTAAAACCTCACAGGGATCCTCCTGCTTGCAAACTCTATATGAGTACAAAAGAAAAGAAAGGTGCATGATAGGAAAGAAACAGACAGAAAATAGCACTACTTTCCTTTTCCCCTGAGAATATACCCGTTTAAATTTTGGTGCCCTGTTTCCAACACTTCCTCTCAATTTTTTTTGTTCATAAATTCTCAATAGTGCGTGTGAGTAGTGTTTCCTCACAACCAGTATCTGCATCTCTCTATTCCTGTCCCTGTGCCTTCAGGGTCCTGGCCATAAAGAAATAAATACAATGGCAAATTGATGTGAGACTCACTTTGCTCTAACTTCTAACTATGGAGCAAGAAGCTCTGAAAAACAGGAAATGTGTCCTGCCTCTAATCTCATGTTACCCTTCCAAGCATAGCTACTAATTATCTGCTGAGCACTGCAGAGCACTCAATGAGTATCAGTGATATTAGAATCATTTTTGTTTCTATTTGATTGTGAGTTTGTTAAGTTTATATTTTCAGAACAACTCAGAAAAGAGAATGGTAAATTTTAATAATATTTTATGTACTAATTACAATCTTCCTACAGTTATTTTAATCATTTTGTAATTCTTCCTTCTTGATATTTTTGAAAAAGCATCTATTTGTGATTTTGATTCATTCTTAGTTTAAAAAATCCGTCATTCATGTTTTTTCTCCCTCTTGCACTCTCTCTCTTTATCATTTACTATCTCATTCACTATCTTTATATTCTAATACTTCCGTTGATTTATTTTTCTAAAAGTGCTAGTTTTTGATCATTTGTCATTGCATTTATATGATATTTCACTTATTCCATCAATATCTATTTTGCAGAAACACTTCAAACAGAACATGGTGAGTTTCAACTATTCATCCACTTTGATTAAAGATACTAAAAATTGACACCAAATTGTAAGCAATACTAAAGGAGCAAAAGGTATCCTCATTTTGTACATCATAGAGTAAATAAAGTAGTGTCCCTTGTGCAGCTGTACTACTAATCATCCATTTTGCTTAAATTTCACCTATATGTAAGATTTTTTCTGTTGAATTTCAACTGCCGTTTTTCTCTAAACACTTGTTCAGAAACATGCAAGGTATGTTAAACAGAAGTATACAGTTTGATCTTGAGGAACATAAAAATTAAGAAATTTACACAAAACGGTTCTCCATTCCATGGAAGAATCACTCATTTCAGTTGAAGATCACTTCTATTGCCTAGCTATGTTTACTCACGTAAATTTCGTACAGAATGAAAATACTCCTGTGAAGTGTACAGTCCATTGACACGTTGCACATTCAAAGTGCTGTTTAGTCCTTCACATACCTCCCTGAGAGTCAGTATGCAAAACTGACTCCAGCTCACAAGAAGACACTTGTGGTTGCTCTGAGAACATCTTTTCCGCTCTGTCCCTGGGAATTTAGCTACTGGGGTTTCCTCATTACACTGTCAGGCTGTGAACATCTGAGTCAGGCTTCTTGCGTGTGTACACAGTTATCCAAATTCATTAGGTGGTAACTTCCATCAATACTTGCCATCTTGTCATGGCAGAGTACCATTCAGCAAGTACATATATATGAATACCCGTGAAATATCTATGTGAAACCCTTTCTCTTTTCACCTCATGACGGACACTGGGACTTCAGCAGCTTGAGACCTCGGTGCATCCTACCACACAAGAGCAGGTTGAGTACCTGCTTTAAATTTGAAGGAGCCTATCACCGGAGATGGAATTGTCATGTCACTGTGTTTTTTATACACACACACACACACACACACACACACACACACACACACACACACATATATATATATATATATATATATATATATATATATATATCCTGAAATGTAACCTGCTTCAAATGGCTCTGTTTTGAGCCAATTGAAGAAAAACAGATGCACCTTGAATCCAAACACTCAAGTGTAGTAAACTGACTCAGAAGCGTAAATATCATATCATTTATCTCATATAAGAATCTTACTACCTATACACAGTTCAAAAGGAAAGACAGACAATCAGAAACAAACAGATAGGTTAATAGCACTATTTCATTTTTCCAATAAGGAAGTACAAAATATGAACTTGTTTACATTCTCACAGGACTCTTACATGTTACTGTTTATCCAGCAGGGCCACCTTAGTACCTCTCAGATGGTGTATTACTGCTTCGATTTGCATCTTCAATGTCACAAGAGACCCTGAGCACCTTTTTATGGGCCTGTCCCTTTTTCCCTCTTCTTGGCAGAAACATCCATCTTCCGTCCTTTTTATGTTTCTGAAAGGAACTGTTATTTTTTGTCCTTAAGCTCAAAGTGGACATTTTCAATTACACACTTTGTAAATTTTTATTACATTCAATGTTTCAATTTGTCTTTTGTTGCTTTGTCCTCATTTACATTTTTATACCTCCACTCCAAAATCAAAGGGCATAAAAAATATCACATTGCATAATTCGCAGTTGATTTTTCTCCAAAGTTATTTCAGTTACAATATTTAATATTTTTCTTTCTTCAGTTTGAGTCATCTCTTTTGATGTAGGAAAATGCTAAAGATGTGAATCAGAGGCTCTTTTATACAACAGAGATTTTTTTGTCAGCAGCAATTTTTCTCGGAAATGTGGTCATTTTCAGAGGACATTAACTACATGTACAACGCAAAATGGTAATGAAAGTGTCTTACTTAACACAGAGTCCTCTTGATGTGGTAAAAGTTTTCTCTGTAAAATTAAAATATGCAAACAACCTATATTCTCTCCACTAGTATATATTTAAATACACTCTGAAAAATTGAATGTTTACAACTCATTGCAGTACATTTTTGCAAATCGGTAGCAAACAGAATTTTAAGTTTTACAGTTTTTCAATTTATCTGATTATATGAGTTTCATTTTGAAGATGACAACAAACCTAGAGAATGAGTGTGAGTGTACCTAAGCAGAAAAGATGCTGAAAACTTAGAGGAGACAGTAAATGAATGAGGTATCAATACAAAGCAGAGAACCATTTTAGCAACATAAAAGAAAAGATGAAACAAATTGTGTCATAAAAAAAAAAAAACATGCCAATTTCTGCACTCATCTATGTAAACGTTGACGGGGTGTTAGTACCTCCTGTAGAGTTTAGTCATGGGGTCAGTCACAACCAATGACATGAGTTTCCTCACCGGACTTCACGGGTGCGTAATCTTACTACTCAGAAAGCTGTATAGCTCACAAAACTCAGCTCACAAATACTTCTTTGTAATGATTAAATTGCTCTGAATATCTTTCGTAGCCTGCTACTTAGAAGTGCTACAAAATAGTGTCTGTCAGTATAGGTAGTCATCCTACAGTGATCCTTAATGTTTATCAGGCCACTTTCACAGACTAAGGTTGTCAGATTCTCTTGAAGGGAATATACATCTAAATATGAATGCATCACCAACTCAAGTTTGGAAAGACATGTTCGTAATGAAAGATGAAAGGCTATTTTTCAATAAAGATTGGAGTTACACAGTTGATATATAGACATAATATTTGTTATATAAAATGACCATTTGACAATAGTAGATGATGACAAGATTCATCTACCACAAAAAAGGAATATTAGAGTATGTGTCTGGTTCACACTCTGCTGTCACAGAAATATCGATATCGTCCCTGTTCCTTCAGGATCCCAGCCAAAATAAATACATAAAATGGCAAAATACTGTCAGACTCCCATTGCACAAATTTTTAAATTCGAGGTCAAGAAATTGTAAAAATTAACAAGACCGGTGCCGTTCATCTAATCTCGTGGTATGCTTCCACCTGTGCTTGCTAATTTAATTTCTGAGCATGGTAGATGGGAAACACGATGCCCTTTAAAGCATTTGAATAAAGCCTGGTGCAGAGGAGCATCAAGAACTATCAATCACATTAGAATCACTTTGTTTATATTTCACTGTGGTTTTTGTATGTTTTATTTTATCAGATCAACTCAGAATAGAGAAGGGTGAGTTTTAATAATGCTTTAAGTACAAAACACAACCTTCATACAGGTATGGATGACTATGGTTTTATCTGTATACTATTCATTACTACTTTCTATGACTATTAGTAATTTTTATCTATTTTAATATCAAAAATTCTTAACATATTCTATCATTAATTTCTTCTGTAAAACTGAGTTCACTTTTCCCCACATCTATTATTTGATCATTTTTGATTGCAATTATAAATTACTTCACTGATTTCAGTAATATTCTTCATTAGTTTGGCAAGTGTACTTAAAAGAGAAAATGATGATTTTATCCAATCTTGAGTTTCTCTTATAAGGATATTACTGTTAGAGCCATAACTTTATCAGTAACAAAGATGTGAAGGAAATCTTCATCTTCAAGGTTTATGATAAATAAACCATTGCCTCTAGCTCACTTCTCATACTCAGTTGGCATTTTTCTTTAACTTCATCTGTTTTAAACTTTTTGCTGTTCGTTTTGTCATCTGCCAAGATTTTCTGTAACTACTTGTTCAGGAATTAAAAGATAGTTTAGAGGTAACCATGAAGATATTTCAGCATCACATGTCTACATATTACACAACTTAAACAAGGCCAGTTCTTCACTGTCTGAGTTGACACAGTCATATTTCATTTGATGATCACGTGTACTGATTTGTGGCTTTAATTGAGGTGAAAGCCATTGTGAGGTGAGACAGGCCGTCTATAGCACACATTTAGTGACTTCCAGTACACTTCAGGGCTGTGCCCCTTACATGCTTGTAGCTCCCAAAGCGGGAGACAGTGCACTCAGGGCATCGTGAGCAGTCAGGTCTGCTTCCCAACACTTAACTCAGCGTTGGACAGTCACTTTTCTGCTTTGTCTATGGAATCTTCTGCTCTGCTTACCACACATCAAGGACACTACAAAGTATGTGACATTTTGTGACTGCCTACTTTCACATATATAGAGTTTTCCACATTTGACAAGTTGTAATGTGTGGCAGTACTTTATTTTTCTATGTAAATACCATTGTACTGGATGATAAACTGCAATTGTTTTTAGCCATTTACCTATGGACTTAGGGATTCTTCCCATTTTGGGCTCCTGTAAATACTGTTTTCGTTGACATTCATGTACAATTCCGTGCTTCAGGCTTGCTTTGACATTTAAAGGAGCCCACACTGGGAATGGAAATGTTGGGGCATATCAATTTCACTGCAAATTTGCCCTTAACATGCCAGTAATTTTTAGTCTCCCATAAATAATTAGATGCACCCTGACACTGTAATGATAAGTAACATAATTCAGGTTAAGCATCACACCGATTCTCCTACATGCAATCGCCACATAAGTTCAAACGCAAAAGAAAGGTACATGATAGGAAAGCGAGAGACAGAGAAAATAGCACTACTTCACATTTCCACTGAGAATATACACAATTTAAATTTTGCTACACTGTTTCCAACAATTCCTCCCCATTTTTTTTTTTTTTTATAAATTCTCATTAGTGCTTTGGGTAGTGTTTCCCTACAGACAAGGTCTACCTCTCTCTAATCCTGTCCATGTGCCTTGAGGGTCCTGAACAAAATGAAGTAAATAAATGGCAAATTGATGTGAGACTCTCTTTGCTTTAACTTCTAACTATGGAGCAAGCAGCTCTGAAAAACAAGCAATGTGTCCTGTCTCTAATCTCATGTTTCCCTTCCAAGCATAGCTACTAAGTATCTGCTGAGCATTGTAGAGCACTCAATGGGTATCAGTGATATTGGAATCATTTTTGTTTCTATTTGTTTGTGAGTTTGTTATGTTTTAATTTTCAGAACAACTCAGAAAATGGAAAGGTAAACTTTAATAATATTATATGTACTAATTACAATCTTGTTACAGTTATTTGTAATCATTTTGTAATCCTTCCTTCTTGATGTTTTTGAAAAAGGATCTGTTAGTGATTTTGATACATTCTTAGTTGTAAAAATCCGTGAATCATCTTGTTTCTCCCTATGTCACTCTCACTCTATCATGTACTATCTCATTCACTATCTTTATTTTCTAATACTTCCGTTGATTTATTTTTATAAATGCGCTAGTTTTTGATCATTTGTTATTGCATTTATACGAAATTTCACTTATTCCATTCATATATGTTTTGCAGAAACATTTCAAACGGAACGTGGTGAGTTTCAATGGTTCATCCACTTTGATTAAAGATACTAAAAATGAGAATCAAGTTGTAAGCAATACTAAAGGAGCAAAAGGTATCCTCATTTTATAGGTCATAGAGTAAATAGAGTAGTGTCTCTTGTGCAGATGTACTGCTAATTATCCATTTTGCTTAAATTTGACCTATATTTAAGATTTTTTCTGTTTAATTTCAACTGCCATTTTTCTCTAAACACTTGTTCAGAAAAATGAAAGGTATGTTAAACAGAAGTAGACTGTTTAATCTTCATAAACATAAAAATTAAGAAATTTACACACAACGGTTCTCCATTCCATGGAAGAATCACTATTTTCAGTTGAAGAGCACTTCTATTGACTAGCTATGTTTACTGAGGTAAATTTCGTAGAGAATGAAAATACTCCTGTGAAGTGTGCATTCCCTTGACACGTTGCACATTCAAAGTGCTGTATAGTGCTTCACATACCTCCCTGAGAGTCAGTATGCAAAACTGACTCCAGCTCACAAAAAGACATTTATGGTTGTTCAGAGAAACCCTTTAGTGCTCTGTCTCTGGCAATTTACCTACTAGGGTTTCCTCATTACACTGTCAGGCTGTGAACATCTGAGTCAGGCTTCTTGCCTGTGTACATAGTTATCCAAATTCATCAGGTTGTAACTTGCATCACTACTTGCCAATCTTTTCATGGCAGAGTAGCTTTCAGCAAGTACATCTAAGTCTGAATACCAGTGAAATATCCATGTGAAAGCCTTGCTCCATTTACCTCATGATGGACACTAGGACTTCACCAGCTTGAGACCTCGGTGCATCCTACACACAAGAGCAGGTTTGAGTACCTGCTTTAAATTTGAAGAAGCCTATGACTGGGGATGGAATTGCCATGTCACTGTGTTTCTTTATATATATATATGTATATATATCCTGAAATGTATCCTAGTTCAATGGCTCAATTTTTGAGCCAATTGAAGAAAAACAGATCCACCTTGAATCCAAACACTCAAATGAAGTAAAACTTACTCAGAAGCATAAATATCATATCATTTATCTCATATAAGGATCTTACTACATATACCCAGTTCTAAAGGAAAGACAGACAATCAAACAACAAAGAGATAGGTTAATAGCACTATTTCATTTTTCCACTAAGGAAGTACAATATATGACTTGTTTACATTCTTACAGGACTCTTACATGTTTCTGTTTATCCAGAAGGGCCACTTTAGTACCTCTCAGATGGTGTATTACTCCCTCGATTTGCATCTTCAATGTCACAAGAGACACTGGGCACCTTTTTATGGGCCTGTCCATTTTTCCCTCTTCTTGGCAGAAACATCCATCTTCTGCCCCTCTCTATGTTCTGAAAGGAACTGTTATTTTTTGTCATTAAGCTCAAAGTGTACATTTTCATTTACACACTTTGTAAATTTGTATTGTATTCAATGTTTCAATTTGTCTTTTATTGCTTTGTCCTCATTTACTTTTTTAAACCTCCACTCCAAAATCAAAGGTCATCAAGAAATATCACGTTGCATATTTTGCAGTGGATTTTACTCCAAAGTTATTTCAGTTTACATATTTGATATCCTTTTTTCAGTTTGAGTAAACTCTTTCAATGGAGGAAAATACTAAAGATGTGAATCAGCGGCTCATTTATACAACAGAGAATCTTTTGCCAACAGAATTTTTTCTCAGAAATGTGGTCATTTTCAGAGGACATTAACTATTTGTACATTGCAACATGGTAATGAAAGTGTCTTACTTCACACAGAGTACTTTGGATGTGGTGAAAGATTTCTCTGTAAAATTAAACTATGCCAACAACCTATATTCTCTCCACTAGTATATATTTAAATAAAATCTGAAAAATTGAATGTTTAGAACTCATTGCAGTACGTTATTGAAAATCGATAGCAAACTGAATTTTAATTTTTACTCTTTTTAAATTTATCTGATCATATGAGAGTTTCATTTTGAAGATGACAACAAATATACAGAATGAGTGTGAGTAGACCTAAGCAGAAAAGATGCTCAAAACTTAGAGGAGACAATAAATGAATGAGGTATCAGTACAAAGCAGAGAACAATTTGAGGAACATAAAAGAAAATTGGAAACAAATTGTGTCATAAAAAAAAAATAAAATGGCATGTTCCGCACTCATCTATGTAAACAGTGATGGGGTGTTAGTACCTCCAGTAAGGTTTAGTCATGGGGCCAGTCACAGCCACTGACGTGAGTTTCCTCCCCGGACTTCACAGGTGCTTAATCTTACTACTCTGAAAGCTGTATAGCACACAAAACTCAGCTCACTAATACTTCTTTGTAATGATTACATTGCTCAAAATCTTTCGTAGCCTGCCACTTAGAAGTGCTACAAAATAATGTCTGTCAGGTTAGCTAATCATCCTACAGGGAACCGTAATGTTTATCAGGCAACTTTCACAGACTGAGTGCATCAAATTCTCTTGAAGGGAATATACGTCTAAATATTAATGCATCACCAACTCAGGTTAGGAAAGACATGCTCGTAATGGAAGATGAAAGGCTATTTTTCAATAAACCCTGCAGTTACACAGGTGATATATAGACATAATATTTGTTATATAAAATCATCACTTAACAATAGTAGATGATGACAAGATTAATCTATCACAAAAAAGAAATATTAGAGTATGTGCCTGATTCACACTCTGCTCTCACAGACATATCGATGTCGTCACTGTTGCTTCAGGGGCCCAGCCAAAATAAATACATAAAATGGCAAAATACTGTCAGACTCCCATTGCAGAAATTTTTAATTCGAGAAAAAGAAATTGCAAAAATTAACAAGACGGGTGTCGTTCCTCTAATCTCGTGGTATGCTTCCACATGTGCTTACTAATTTAGTTTCTGAGCATGGTAGATGGCAAACACGATGCCCTTTAAAGCATTTGAATAAATCCTGGTGCAGAGGAGCATTCAAGAAATATCAAGCACATTAGATTCACTTTGTTGATGTTTCACTGTGATTTTTGTATGTTTTTATTTTATCAGATCAACACAGAATAGAAAAGGGTGAGTTTAATAATTCTTTAAGTACAAAACACAATCTTCATACAGGTATGGATGACTATGGTTTTATCTTTATACTATTCATTACTACTTTCTATGACTATTAGTAATTTTTCTCTATTTGAATAACAAAAATACTTTACATATTCTATCTATCATTAATTTCTTCTGTAAAACATAGTTCACTTTTCCCCACATCTATTATTTGATCATTTTTGATTTCAGTTATAAATCACTTCACTGATTTCAGCCATATTCTTCATTAGTATGGCAAGTGTACTTAGAAGAGAAAATGATGGTTTTTTCTAATCTTGACTTCCTCTTATAAGGATATTACCAATAGAACCATAATTTTATCAATAACAAACTTGTGAATGAATCGTTCAACTTCAAGGTTTACCATAAATAAACCATTGCCTCTAGGTCTTCATTTGTTTTAAATTTTTCTTATTTGATTTTTCCAATGCCAAGTTTTTCTGTAACTACTTGTTCAGGAATTAAAATTTATTTTAGACGTAACCATGCAGATATTTCAAAAATCACATGTCTACATATTACACAACTTCAGCAAGGCCAGTTCTTCACTGTCTGATTTGACCCTGTCATATTTCATTTCATGATCACGTGTACAGATTTGTGGCTTTAAATGAGGAGAAAGCAATTGTGAGCTGAAACGTGCCCTCTATAGCACACGTTTAGTGACTTCCAGTACACTTCAGGGCTGTGCCCCTCACATGCTTGTAGCTCCCAAAGCGGGAGACAGTGCACTCAGGGCATCATGAGCAGTCAGGTCTGCTTCCCCACACTTAACTCAGCGTTTGACAGTCACTTTTCTGCTTTGTCTATGGAATCTTCTGCTCTGCTTACCACACATCTAGGACACTACAAAGTATGTGACATTTTGTGACTGCCTACTTTCACATATATAGAGTTTTCCACATTTGACAAGTTGTAATGTGTGGCAGTACTTTATTTTTCTATGTAAATACCATTGTACTGGATGATAAACTGCAATTGTTTTTAGCCATTTACCTATGGACTTAGGGATTCTTCCCATTTTGGGCTCCTGTAAATACTGTTTTCGTTGACATTCATGTACAATTCCGTGCTTCAGGCTTGCTTTGACATTTAAAGGAGCCCACACTGGGAATGGAAATGTTGGGGCATATCAATTTCACTGCAAATTTGCCCTTAACATGCCAGTAATTTTTAGTCTCCCATAAATAATTAGATGCACCCTGACACTGTAATGATAAGTAACATAATTCAGGTTAAGCATCACACCGATTCTCCTACATGCAATCGCCACATAAGTTCAAACGCAAAAGAAAGGTACACGATAGGAAAGCGAGAGACAGAGAAAATAGCACTACTTCACATTTCCACTGAGAATATACACAATTTAAATTTTGCTACACTGTTTCCAACAATTCCTCCCCATTTTTTTTTTTTTATAAATTCTCATTAGTGCTTTGGGTAGTTTTTCCCTACAGCCAAGGTCTACCTCTCTCTAATCCTGTCCCTGTGCCTTGAGAGTCCTGAACAAATAGAAATAAATAAATGGCAAATTGATGTGAGACTCTCTTTGCTTTAACTTCTAACTATGGAGCAAGCAGCTCTGATAATCATCCAATGTGTCCTGCCTCTAATCTCATGTTACCCTTCAAGCATAGCTACTACTTATCTGCTGAGCACTGCAGAGCACTCAGTGAGTATCAGTGATATTAGAATCATTTTTGTTTCTATTTGATTGTGACTTTGTTATGTTTTAATTTTCACAACAACTCAGAAAAGAGAAAGGTAAATTTAATAATATTATATGTACTAATTACAATCTTGCTACAGTTATTTGTAATTGTTCTGTAATCCTTCCTTCTTGATGCTTTGGAAAAAGGATCTGTTAGTGATTTTGATATATTCTTGTAAAACTCCGTGAATCATCTTGTTTCTCCCTATACCACTCTCACTCTATCATGTACTATCTCATTCACTATCTTTATTTTCTAATACTTCTGTTGATTTATTTTTATAAATGTGCTAGTTTTTGATCATTTGTTATTTCATTTATATGAAATTTCACTTATTCCATCAATGTATGTTTTGCAGAAACACTTCAAACGGAACGTGGTGAGTTTCAATGGTTCATCCACTTTGATTAAAGATACTAAAAATGAGAATCAAGTTGTAAGCAATACTAAAGGAGCAAAAGGTATCCTCATTTTATAGGTCATAGCGTAAATAGAGTAGTGTCTCTTGTGCAGCTGTACTGCTAATTATCCTTTCTGCTTAAATTTGACCTATATTTAAGATTTTTTCTGTTTAATTTCAAATGCTATTTTTCTCTAAACACTTGTTCAGAAAAATGAAAGGTATGTTAAACAGAAGTATACTGTTTTATCTTCATAAACATAAAAATTAAGAAATTTACACACAACGGTTCTCCTTTCCATGGAAGAATCACTATTTTCAGTTGAAGAGCGCTTCTATTGACTAGCTATGTTTACTGACGTAAATTTCATACAGAATGAAAATACTCCTGTGAAGTGTACATTCCATTGGCACGTTGCACATTCAAAGTGCTGTATAGTGCTTCACATACCTCCCTGAGAGTCAGTATGCAAAACTGATTCCAGCTCACAAAAAGACATTTATCGTTGTTCAGAGCAACACTTTAATGCACTGTCTCTGGCAATTTACCTACTTGGGTTTCCTCATTACTCTGTCAGGCTGTGAACATCTGAGTCAGGCTTCTTGCCTGTGTACATAGTTATCCAAATTCATCAGGTTGTAACTTGCGTCACTACTTGCCATCTTGTCATGGCAGAGTAACTTTCAGCAAGTACATCTAAGTCTGAATACCAGTGAAATATCCATGTGAAAGCCTTTCTCCATTTACCTAATGATGGACACTGGGACTTCACCAGCTTGAGACCTCGGTGCATCCTACACACAAGAGCAGGTTTGAGTACCTGCTTTAAATTTGAAGGAGCCTATGACTGGGGATGGAATTGCCATGTCACTGTGTTTCTTTATATATATATATCCTGAAATGTATCCTGGTTCAATGGCTCTATTTTGGAGCCAATTGAAGAAAAACAGATCCACCTTGAATCCAAATACTCAAGTGAAGTAAAACAGACTCAGAAGCATAAATATCATATCATTTATCTCTTATAAGAATCTAACTACATATGCCCAGTTCTAAAGGAAAGAGAGACAATCAGACAACAAAGTGATAGGTTAATAACACTATTTCATTTTTCCAGTAAGGAAGTACAATATATGACTTGTTTACATTCTCACAGGACTCTTACATGTTTCTGTTTATCCAGAAGGGCCACTTTAGTACCTCTCACATGGTGTATGAATCCCTCGATTTGCATCTTCCATGTCACAAGAGACACTGGGCAACTTTTTATGGGACTGTCCATTTTTCCCTCTTCTTCGCAGAAACTTCCATCTTTTGTCCCTCTTTATGTTTCTGAAAGGAACTGTTATTTTTTGCATTAAGCTCAAAGTGTACATTTTCATTTACACACTTTGTAAATTTTTATTACATTCAATATTTCAATTTGTCTTTTATTGCTTTATCCTCATTTAATTTTTAAAACCTCCACTCCAAAATCAAAGGCCATCAAGAAATATCATGTTGCATATTTTGCAGTGGATTTTACTCCAAAGTTATTTCAGTTTCCATATTTGATATCCTTTTTTCAGTTTGAGTAAACTCTTTCAATGGAGGAAAATACTAAAGATGTGAATCAGCAGCTCATTTATACAACAGAGAATTTTTTTGCCAATAGGAATTTTTCTCAGAAATGTGGTCATTTTCAGAGGACATTAACTACTTGTACATTGCAAAATGGTATTGAAAGTGTCTTACTTCACACAGAGTACTTTTGATGTGGTGAAAGATTTTTCTGTAAAATTAAAATATGTAAACAACTTATATTCTCTCCACTAGTATATATTTAAATAAACTCTGAAAAATTGAATGTTTAGAACTCATTGCAGTACGTTATTGAAAATCGGGAGCAAACTGAATTTTAATTTTTACTCTTTTTAAATTTATCTGATCATATGAGAGTTTCATTTTGAAGATGACAACAAACATAGAGAATGAGTGTGAGCAGACCTAAGCAGAAAAGATGCTCAAAACTTAGGAGACAGTAAATGAATGAGGTATCAGTACAAAGCAGAGAACAATTTCAGGAACATACAAGAAAAGAGGAAATAAATTGTGTCATAAAAAAAAATAAAATGGCATGTTCCGCACTCATCTATGTAAACGGTGATGGGGTGTTAGTACCTCCAGTAAGGTTTAGTCATGGGGCCAGTCACAGCCACTGACATGAGTTTCCTCCCCGGACTGCACAGGTGCTTAATCTTACTACTCTGAAAGCTGTATAGCACACAAAACTCAGCTCACTAATACTTCTTTGTAATGATTACATTGTTCAAAATCTTTCGTAGCCTGCTACTTAGACGTGCTACAAAATCATGTCTGTCAGGTTAGCTAATCATCCTACAGTGAACCTTAATGTTTATCAGGCCACTTTCACAGACTGAGGGTGTCAAATTCTCTTGAAGGGAATATACGTCTAAATATTAATGCATCACCAACTCAAGTTAGGAAAGACATGTTCGTAAAGGAAGATGAAAGGCTATTTTTCAATAAGCCCCGGAGTTACACAGGTGATATATAGACATAATATTTGTTATATATTATCATCATTTGACAATAGTAGATGATGACAAGATTCATCTATCACAAAAAAGGAATATTAGAGTATGTGCCTGGTTCACACTCTGCTCTCACAGACATATCGTTGTCGTCACTGTTGCTTCAGGGGCCCAGCCAAAATAAATACATAAAATGGCAAAATACTGTCAGACTCCCATTGCAAAAATTTTTAATTCGAGAACAAGAAATTGTAAAAATTAGCAAGACGGGTGTCGTTCCTCTAATCTCGTGGAATGCTTCCAAATATGCTTACTAATTTAGATTCTGAGCATGGTAGATGGTAAACACGATGCCCTTTAAAGTATTTGAATAAATCCTGGTGCAGAGGAGCATTCAAGAAGTATCAAGCACATTAGATTCACTTTGTTGATGTTTCACTGTGATTTTTTTATGTTTTTATTTTATCAGATCAACACAGAATAGAGAAGGGTGAGTTTAATAATTCTTTAAGTACAAAACACCACCTTCATACAGGTATGGATGACTATGGTTTTTTCTTTATACTATTCATTACTACTTTCTATGACTTTTAGTAATTTTTCTCTATTTGAATAACAACAATGCTTTACATATTCTATCTATCATTAATTTCTTCTGTAAAACTTAGTTCACTTTTCCCCACATCTATTATTTGATCATTTTTGATTGCAGTTACAAATTACTTAACTGATTTCAGCCATATTCTTCATTAGTATGGCAAGTGTACTTAGAAGAGAAAATGATGGTTTTTTCTAATCTTGACTTCCTCTTATAAGGATATTACCAATAGAACCACAATTTTATCAATAACTAACATGTGAAGGAATCGTTCAAATTCAAGGTTTACCATAAATAAACCATTGCCTCTAGGACTTCACTTGTTTTAAATTTTTGGCATTTAATTTTTCAAATGACAAACTTTTCTGTAACTACTTGTTCAGGAATTAAAATATATTTTAGAGGTAACCATGAAGATATTTCAAAATCACATGTCTACATATTACACAACTTAAGCAAGGCCAGTTCTTCACTGTCTGAGTTGACGCTGTCATATTTCATTTCATGATCACGTGTACAGATTTGTGGCTTTAAATGAGTTGAAAGCCATTGTGAGCTGAGACATGCCCTCTATAGCACACGTTTAGTGACTTCCAGTACACTTCAGGGCTGTGCCCCTCACATGCTTGTAGTTCCCAAAGTGGGAGACAGTGCACTCAGGGCATCATGAGCAGTCAGGTCTGCTTCCCGACACTTAACTCAGCGTTTGACAGTCACTTTTCTGCTTTGTCTATGGAATCTTCTGCTCTGCTTACCACACATCAAGGACACTACAAAGTATGTGACATTTTGTGACTGCCTACTTTCACATGTATAGACTTTTTCACATTTGACAAGTTGTAATGTGTGCCAGTACTTTATTTTTCTTTGTAAATACCATTTTACTGGATGATAAGCTGCAATTGATTTTAGCCATTTACCTATGGACTTAGGGATTCTTCCCATTTTGGGCTCCTGTAAATACTGTTTTTGTTGACATTCTTGTACAATTCCGTGCTTCAGGCTTGCTTTGACATTCGAAGGAGTCCACACTGGGAATGCAAATGTTGGGGCATATCAATTTCACTGAAAATTTGCCCTTAAAATGCCAGTATTTTTTAGTCTCCCATAAAGAATTAGATGCACCCTGACACTGTAATGATAAGTAACATAATTCAGGTTAAGCATCACACCGATTCTCCTACATGCAATCGCCATATAAGTTCAAACGCAAAAGAAAGGTACACAATAGGAAAGAGAGAGACAGAGAAAATAGCACTACTTCACATTTGCACTGAGAATATACACAATTTAAATTTTGCTACACTGTTTCCAACAATTCCTCCCCATTTTTTTTTGTATAAATTCTCATTAGTGCTTTGGGTTGTTTTTCCCTACAGCCAAGGTCTACCTCTCTCTAATCCTGTCCCTGTGCCTTGAGGGTCCTGAACAAAAAGAAGTAAATAAATGGCAAATTGATGGGAGACTCTCTTTGCTTTAACTTCTAACTATGGAGCAAGCAGCTCTGATAATCATCCAATGTGTCCTGCCTCTAATCTCATGTTACCCTTCCAAGCATAGGTACTACTTATCTGCTGAGCACTGCAGTGCACTCAATGAGTATCAGTGATATTAGAATCATTTTTGTTTCTATTTGATTGTGAGTTTGTTATGTATTAATTTTCAGAACAACTCAGAAAAGAGAAAGGTAAACTTTAATAATATTATATGTACTAATTACAATCTTGCTACAGTTATTTGTAATCATTTTGTAATCTTTCCTTGATGCTTTTGAAAAAGGATCTGTTAGTGATTTTGATGCATTCTTAGTTGTAAAAATCCGTGAATCATCTTGTTTGTCCCTATATCACTCTCACTCTATCATGTACTATCTCATTCACTATCTTTATTTTCTAATACTTCCGTTGATTTATTTTTATAAATGTGCTAGTTGTTGATCATTTGTTATTGCATTTATATGAAATTTCACTTATTCCATCAATGTATGTTTTTCAGAAACACTTCAAACGGAACGTGGTGAGTTTCAATGGTTCATCCACTTTGATTAAAGATACTAAAAATGAGAATCAAATTGTAAGCAATACTAAAGGAACAAAAGGTATCCTCATTTTATAGGTCATAGCATAAATAGAGTAGTGTCTCTTGTGCATCTGTACTGCTAATTATCCATTTTGCTTAAATTTGACCTATATTTAAGATTTTTTCTGTTTAATTTCAAATGCTATTTTTCTGTAAACCGTTGTTCAGAAAAATGAAAGGTATGTTAAACAGAAGTAGAATGTTTTATCTTCATAAACATAAAAAATTAGAAATTTACACACAACGGTTCTCCTTTCCATGGAAGAAACACTATTTTCAGTTGAAGAGCACTTCTATTGACTAGCTATGTTTACTGACGTAAATATTGTACAGAATGAAAATACTCCTGTGAAGTGTACATTCCATTAAAACGTTGCACATTCAAAGTGCTGTATAGTGCTTCACATACCTCCCTGAGAGTCAGTATGCAAAACTGACTCCAGCTCACAAAAAGACATTTATGGTTGTTCAGAGCAACCCTTTAATGCACTGTCTCTGGCAATTTACCTACTTGGTTTCCTCATTACTCTGTCAGTCTGTGAACATCTGAGTCAGGCTTCTTGCCTGTGTACCTAGTTATCCAAATTCATCAGGTTGTAACTTGCGTCACTACTTGCCATCTTGTCATGGCAGAGTACCCTTCAGCAAGTACATTTAAGTCTGAATACCAGTGAAATATCCATGTGAAAGCCTTTCTCCGTTTACCTCATGATGGACACTGGGACTTCACCAGCTTGAGACCTTGGTGCATCCTACACACAAGAGCAGGTTTGAGTACCTGCTTTAAATTTGAAGGAGCCTGTGACTGGGGATGGAATTGATATGTCACTGTGTTTCTTTATATACATATATATATATACATATATATATATATATCTCCTGAAATGTATCCTGGTTCAATGGCTCTATTTTTGAGCCAATTGAAGAAAAGCAGATCCACCTTGAATCCAAATACTCAAGTGAAGTAAAACTGACTCAGAAGCATAAATATCATATCATTTATCTCATATAAGAATCTTACTACATATGCCCAGTTCAAAAGGAAAGACAGACAATCAGACAACAAAGTGATAGGTTAACAGCACTATTTCATTTTTCCAGTAAGGAAGTACATTATGTGACTTGTTTACATTCTCACCGGACTCTTACATGTTTCTGTTTATCCAGAAGGGCCACTTTAGTACCTCTCAGATGGAGTATTACTCCCTCGATTTGCATCTTCCATGTCACAAGAGACACGGGGCAACTTTTTATGGGCCTGTCCATTTTTCCCTCTTCTTCGCAGAAACTTCCATCTTTTGTCCCTCTTTATGTTTCTGAAAGGAACTGTTATTTTTTGCATTAAGCTCAAAGTGTACGTTTTCATTTACATACTTTGTAAATTTTTATTACATTCAGTGTTTCAATTTGTCTTTTGTTGCTTTGTCCTCATTTACTTTTTTAAACCTCCACTCCAAAATCAAAGGCCATCAAGAAATATCATGTTGCATATTTTGCAGTGGATTTTACTCCAAAGTTATTTCAGTTTACATATTTGATATCCTTTTTTCAGTTTGAGTAAACTCTTTCAATGGAGGAAAATACTAAAGATGTGAATGAGCGGCTCATTTATACAACAGAGAATTTTTTGCCAATAGGAATTTTTCTCAGAAATGTGGTCATTTTCAGAGGACATTAACTATTTGTACATTGCAACATGGTAATGAAAGTGTCTTACTTCACACAGAGTACTTTTGATGTGGTGAATTATTTCTCTGTAAAATTAAACTATGCCAACAACCTATATTCTCTCCACTAGTATATATTTAAATAAACTCTGAAAAATTGAATGTTTAGAACTCATCGCAGTACGTTATTGAAAATCGGTAGCAAACAGAATTTTAATTTTTACTCTTTTTAAATTTATCTGATCATATGAGAGTTTCATTTTGAAGATGACAACAAATATAGAGAATGAGTGTGAGCAGACCTAAGCAGAAAAGATGCTCAAACCTTAGGAGACAGTAAATAAATGAGGTATCAGTACAAAGCAGAGAACAATTTGAGGAACATAAAAGAAAACAGGAAATAATTGTGTCATAAAAAAAATAAAATGGCATGTTCCGCACTCATCTATGTAAACGGTGATGGGGTGTTAGTACCTCCAATAAGGTTTAGTCATGGGGCCAGTCACAGCCACTGACATGAGTTTCCCCCCAGACTTCACAGGTGCTTAATCTTACTACTCTGAAAGCTGTATAGCACACAAAACTCAGCTCACTAATACTTCTTTGTAATGATTACATTGCTCAAAATCTTTCGTAGCCTGCTACTTAGAAGTGCTACTAAATAATGTCTGTCAGGGTAGCTAATCATCCTACAGTGAACCTTAATGTTTATCAGGCCACTTTCACAGACTGAGGGTGTCAAATTCCCTTGAAGGGAATATATGTCTAAATATTAATGCATCACCAACTCAAGTTAGGAATGACATGTTCGTAATGGAAGATGAAAGGCTATTTTTCAATAAACCCTGGGGTTACACAGGTGATATATAGACATAATATTTGTTATATAAAATCATCACTTGACAATAGTAGATGATGACAAGATTTATCTATCACAAAAAAGAAATATTAGAGTATGTGCCTGGTTCACACTCTTCTCTCACAGACATATCAATGTCGTCACTGTTCCTTCAGGGGCCCAGCCAAAATAAATACATAAAATGGCAAAATACTGTCAGACTCCCTTTGCAAAAATTTTTAATTCGAGAACAAGAAATTGTAAAAATTAACAAGACGGATGTCGTTCCTCTAAACTCGTGGAATGCTTCCAAATGTGCTTACTAATTTAGTTTCTGAGCATGGTAGATGGCAAACATGATGCCCTTTACAGTATTTGAATAAATCCTGGTGCAGAGGAGCATTCAAGAAGTATCAAGCACATTAGAATCACTTTGTTGATGTTTCACTGTGATTTTTGTATGTTTTTATTTTATCAGATCAACACAGAATAGAGAAGGGTGAGTTTAATAATTCTTTAAGTACAAAACACCACCTTCATACAGGTATGGATGACTATGGTTTTATCTTCATACTATTCATTACTACTTTCCATGACTTTAAGTAATTTCTCTCTATTTGAATAACAACAATGCTTTACATATTCTATCTATCATTAATTTCTTCTGTAAAACTTAGTTCACTTTCCCCCACATCTATTATTTGATCATTTTTGATTGCAGTTATGAATTACTTCACTGATTTCAGCCATATTCTTCATTAGTATGGCAAGTGTACTTAGAAGCGAAAATGATGGTTTTTTCTAATCTTGACTTCCTATTATAAGGGTATTACCAATAGAACCACAATTTTATCAATAACTAACATGTGAAGGAATCGTTCAAATTCAAGGTTTACCATAAATAAAACATTGCCTCTAGGACTTCACTTGCTTTAAATTTTTGGCATTTAATTTTTCAAATGACAAACTTTTCTGTAACTTCTTGTTCAGGAATTAAAATATATTTTAGAGGTAACCATGAAAATATTTCAAAATCACATGTCTACATATTACACAACTTAAGCAAGTTCTTCACTGTCTGAGTTGACGCTGTCATATTTCATTTCATGATCACGTGTACACATTTTTGGCTTTAAATGAGGTGAAAGCCATTGTGAGCTGAGACATGCCCTCTATAGCACACATTTAGTGACTTCCAGGACACTTCAGGGCTGTGCTCCTCACATGCTTGTAGCTCCCAAAGCGGGAGACAGTGCACTCAGGGCATCATGAGCAGTCAGGTCTGCTTCCCGACACTTAACTCAGCGTTTGACAGTCACTTTTCTGCTTTGTCTATGGAATCTTCTGCTCTGCTTACCACACATCAAGGACACTACAAAGTATGTGACATTTTGTGACTGCCTACTTTCACATATATAGAATTTTCCACATTTGACAAGTTGTAATGTGTGGCAGTACTTCATTTTTCTATGTAAATACCATTGTACTGGATGATAAACTGCCATTGTTTTTAGCCATTTACTTATGGACTTAGGGATTCTTCCCATTTTGGGCTCCTGTAAATACTGTTTTTGTTGACATTCTTGTACAATTCCGTGCTTCAGGCTTGCTTTGACATTTAAAGGAGCCCACACTGGGAATGGAAATGTTTGGGCATTTCAATTTCACTGAAAATTTGCCCTTAAAATGCCAGTATTTTTTAGACTCCCATAAAGAATTAGATGCACCCTGACACTGTAATGATAAGTAACATAATTCAGGTTAAGCATCACACCGATTCTCCTACATGCAATCGCCATATAAGTTCAAACGCAAAAGAAAGGTACACAATAGGAAAGAGAGAGACAGAGAAAATAGCACTACTTCACATTTCCACTGAGAATATACACAATTTAAATTTTGCTACACTTTCCAACAATTCCTCCCCATTTTTTTTTTTTTTTTTTTATAAATTCTCATTAGTGCTTTGGGTAGTGTTTCCCTACAGCCAAGGTCTACCTCTCTCTAATCCTGTCCCTGTGCCTTGAGGGTCCTGAACAAAAAGAAATAAATAAATGGCAAATTGATGTGAGACTCTCTTTGCTTTAATTTCTAACTATGGAGCAAGCAGCTCTGATAATCATCCAATGTGTCCTTCCTCTAATCTCATGTTACCCTTCCAAGCATAGCTACTAACTATCTGCTGAGCACTGCAGAGCACTCAATGAGTATCAGTGATATTAGAATCATTTTTGTTTGTATTTGATTGTGAGTTTGTTATGTTTTAATTTTCAGAACAACTCAGAAAATGGAAAGGTAAACTTTAATAATATTATATGTACTAATTGCAGTCTTGCTACAGTTATTTGTAATCATTTTGTAATCCTTCCTTCTTGATGTTTTTGAAAAAGGATCTGTTAGTGATTTTGATACATTCTTAGTTGTAAAAATCCGTGGATCATCTTGTTTCTCCCTATGTCACTCTCACTCTATCATGTACTATCTCATTCACTATCTTTATTTTCTAATACTTCCGTTGATTTATTTTTATAAATGTGCTAGTTTTTGATCATTTGTTATTGCATATATACAAAATTTCACTTATTCCATCAATATATGTTTTGCAGAAACACTTCAAACGGAACGTGGTGAGTTTCAATGGTTCATCCAGTTTGATTAAAGATACTAAAAATGAGAATCAAATTGTAAGCAATACTAAAGGAGCAAAAGGTATCCTCATTTTATAGGTCATAGAGTAAATAGAGTAGTGTCTCTTGTGCAGCTGTACTGCTAATTATGCCTTTTGCTTAAATTTGACCCATATTTAAGATTTTTTTCTGTTTAATTTCAACTGCTATTTTTCTCTAAACACTTGTTCAGAAAAATGAAAGGTATGTTAAACAGAAGTAGACTGTTTAATCTTCATAAACATAAAAATTAAGAAATTTACACACAACGGTTCTCCATTCCATGGAAGAATCACTATTTTCAGTTGAAGAGCACTTCTATTGACTAGGTATGTTTACTGAGGTAAATTTTGTACAGAATGAAAATACTCCTGTGAAGTGTGCATTCCCTTGACACGTTGCACATTCAAAGTGCTGTATAGTGCTTCACATACCTCCCTGAGAGTCAGTATGCAAAACTGACTCCAGCTCACAAAAAGACATTTATGATTGTTTAGAGAAACCCTTTACTGCTCTGTCTCTGGCAATTTACCTACTTGGGTTTCCTCATTAATCTGTCAGGCTGTGAACATCTGAGTCAGGCTTCTTGCCTGTGTACATAGTTATCCAAATTCATCTGGTTGTAACTTGCATCACTACTTGCCATCTTTTCATGGCAGAGTAGCTTTCAGCAAGTACATCTAAGTCTGAATACCAGTGAAATATCCATGTGAAAGCCTTGCTCCATTTACCTCATGATGGACACTTGGACTTCACCAGCTTGAGACCTCGGTGCATCCTACACACAAGAGCGGGTTTGAGTACCTGCTTTAAATTTGAAGGAGCCTATGACTGGGGATGGAACTGCCATGTCACTGTGTTTCTTTATATATATATATATATATATATATATATATATATATATATATATCTCCTGAAATGTATCCTGGTTCAATGGCTCTATTTTTGAGCCAATTGAAGAAAAACAGATCCACCTTGAATCCAAACACTCAAGTGAAGTAAAACTGACTCAGAAGCGTAAATATCATATCATTTATCTCATATAAGCATCTTACTACATATACACAGTTCTAAAGGAAAGACAGACAATCAGAAACAAAGAGATAGGTTAATAGCACTATTTCATTTTTCCACTAAGGAAGTACAATATATGACTTGTTTACATTCTCACAGGACTCTTACATGTTTCTGTTTATCCAGAAGGGCCACTTTAGTACCTCTCACATGGTGTATGAATCCCTCGATTTGCATCTTCAATGTCAAAAGAGACACTGGGCAACTTTTTATGGGCCTGTCCATTTTTCCCTCTTCTTGGCAGAAACATCCATCTTCTGCCCTTCTTTATGTTCTGAAAGGAACCGTTATTTTTTGTCATTAAGCTCAAAGTGTACATTTTCATTTACACACTTTGTAAATTTGTATTACATTCAATGTTTCAATTTGTCTTTTATTGCTTTGTCCTCATTTACTTTTTTAAACCTCCACTCCAAAATCAAAGGTCAGCAAGAAATATCACGTTGCATATTTTGCAGTGGATTTTACTCCAAAGTTATTTCAGTTTACATATTTGATATCCTTTTTTCAGTTTGAGTAAACTCTTTCAATGGAGGAAAATACTAAAGATGTGAATCAGCGGCTCATTTATACAACAGAGAATTTTTTGCCAATAGGAATTTTTCTCAGAAATGTGTTCATTTTCAGAGGACATTAACTATTTGTACATTGCAACATGGTAATGAAAGTGTCTTACTTCACACAGAGTACTTTTGATGTGGTGAAAGATTTCTCTGTAAAATTAAACTATGCCAACAACCTATATTCTCTCCACTAGTATATATTTAAATAAACTCTGAAAAATTGAATGTTTAGAACTCATCGCAGTACGTTATTGAAAATCGGTAGCAAACAGAATTTTAATTTTTACTCTTTTTAAATTTATCTGATCATATGAGAGTTTCATTTTGAAGATGACAACAAATATAGAGAATGAGTGTGAGCAGACCTAAGCAGAAAAGATGCTCAAAACTTAGAGTGGTCAGTAAATGAATGACGTATCAGTACAAAGCAGAGAAAAATTTGAGGAACATACAAGAAAAGAGGAAATAAATTGTGTCATAAAAAAAATAAAATGGCATGTTCCGCACTCATCTATGTAAACGGTGATGGGGTGTTAGTACCTCCAGTAATGTTTAGTCATGGGGCCAGTCACATCCACTGACATGAGTTTCCTCCCCGGACTGCACAGGTGCTTAATCTTACTACTCTGAAAGCTGTATAGCACACAAAACTCAGCTCACTAATACTTCTTTGTAATGATTACATTGCTCAAAATCTTTCGTAACCTGCTACTTAGAAGTGCTACAAAATCATGTCTGTCAGGTTAGCTAATCATCCTACAGTGAACCTTAATGTTTATCAGGCCACTTTCACAGACTGAGTGCGTCAAATTCTCTTGAAGGGAATATATGTCCAAATATTAATGCATCACCAACTCAAGTTAGGAAAGACATGCTCGTAATGGAAGATGAAAGGCTATTTTTCAATAAACCCTGGAGTTACGCAGGTGATATATAGACAAAATATTTGTTATATAAAATCATCACTTGACAATAGTAGATGATGACAAGATTCATCTATCACAAAAAAGAAATATTAGAGTATGTGCCTGGTTCACAATCTGCTCTCACAGACATATCGATGTTGTCACTGTTCCTTCCGGGGCCCAGCCAAAATAAATACATAAAATGGCAAAATAGTGTCAGACTCCCTTTGCAAAAATTTTTAATTCGAGAACAAGAAATTGTAAAAATTAACAAGACGGATGTCGTTCCTCTAATCTCGTGGAATGCTTCCAAATGTGCTTACTAATTTAGTTTCTGAGCATGGTAGATGGCAAATACGATGCCCTTTAAAGTATTTGAATAAATCCTGGTGCACAGGAGCATTCAAGAAGTATCAAGCACATTAGAATCACTTTGTTGATGTTTCACTTTGATTTTTGTATGTTTTTATTATATCAGATCAACACAGAACAGAAAAGGGTGAGTTTAAAAATTCTTTAAGTACAAAACACCACCATCATACAGGTATGGATGACTATGGTTTTATCTTTATACTATTCATTACTACTTTCTATGACTATTAGTAATTTTTCTCTATTTGAATAACAAAAATACTTTACATATTCTATGTATCATTAATTTCTTCTGTAAAACATAGTTCACTTTTCCCCACATCTATTATTTGATCATTTTTGATTGCAGTTATAAATCACTTCACTGATTTCAGCCATATTCTTCATTAGTATGGCAAGTGTACTTAGAAGCGAAAATGATGGTTTTTTCTAATCTTGACTTCCTCTTATAAGGATATTACCAATAGAACCATAATTTTATCAATAACAAACTTGTGAAGGAATCGTTCACCTTCAAGGTTTACCAAAAATAAAAGTTTGCCTCTAGGTCTTCATTTGTTTTAAATTTTTTGTATTTGATTTTTCCAATGCCAAGTTTTTCTGTAACTACTTGTTCAGGAATTAAAATATATTTTAGAGGTAACCATGAAGATATTTCAAAAATCACATGTCTACATATTACACAACTTAAGCAAGGCCAGTTCTTCCCTGTCTGAGTTGACCCTGTCATATTTCATTTCATGATCACGTGTACAGATTTGTGGCTTTAAATGAGGAGAAAGACATTGTGAGCTGAGACATGCCCTCTATAGCACACATTTAGTGACGTCCAGTACACTTCAGGGCTGTGCCCCTCACATGCTTGTAGTTCCCAAAGCGGGAGACAGTGCACTCAGGGCATCATGAGCAGTCAGGTCTGCTTTCCGACAATTAACTCAGCATTTGATAGTTACTTTTCTGCTTTGTCTATGGAATCTTCTGCTCTGCTTACCACACATCAAGGACACTACAAAGTATGTGACATTTTGTGACTGCCTACTTTCACATGTATAGTGTTTTCCACCTTTGACACGTTGTAATGTGTGGCAGTACTTTATTTTTCTTTGTAAATACCATTGTACTGGATGATAAGCTGCAATTCTTTTTAGCCATTTACCTATGGACTTAGGGATTCTTCCCATTTTGGGCTCCTGTAAATACTGTTTTTGTTGACATTCTTGTACAATTCCGTGCTTCAGGCTTGCTTTGACATTCGAAGGAGTCCACACTGGGAATGCAAATGTTGGGGCATATCAATTTCACTGAAAATTTGCCCTTAAAATGCCAGTATTTTTTAGTCTCCCATAAAGAATTAGATGCACCCTGACACTGTAATGATAAGTAACATAATTCAGGTTAAGCATCACACCGATTCTCCTACATGCAATCACCATATAAGTTCAAACGCAAAAGAAAGGTACACAATAGGAAAGAGAGAGACAGAGAAAATAGCACTGCTTCACATTTCCACTGAGAATATACACAATTTAAATTTTGCTACACTTTCCAACAATTCCTCCCCATTTTTTTTTTTTTTTATAAATTCTCATTAGTGCTTTGGGTAGTGTTTCCCTACAGCCAAGGTCTACCTCTCTCTAATCCTGTCCCTGTGCCTTGAGGGTCCTGAACAAAAAGAAATAAATAAATGGCAAATTGATGTGAGACTCTCTTTGCTTTAACTTCTAACTATGGAGCAAGCAGCTCTGATAATCATCCAATGTGTCCTTCCTCTAATCTCATGTTACCCTTCCAAGCATAGCTACTACTTATCTGCTGAGCACTGCAGAGTACTCAATGATTATCAGTGATATTAGAATCATTTTTGTTTGCATTTGATTGTGAGTTTGTTATGTTTTAATTTTCAGAACAACTCAGAAAATGGAAAGGTAAACTTTAATAATATTATATGTACTAATTACAATCTTGCTAAAGTTATTTGTAATCATTTTGTAATCCTTCCTTCTTGATGCTTTTGAAAAAGGATCTGTTAGTGATTTTGATACATTCTTAGTTGTAAAAATCCGTGGATCATCTTGTTTCTCCCTATGTCACTCTCACTCTATCATGTACTATCTCATTCACTATCTTTATTTTCTAATACTTCCGTTGATTTATTTTTATAAATGTGCTAGTTTTTGATCATTTGTTATTGCATTTATATGAAATTTCACTTATTCCATCAATGTATGTTTTCAGAAACCCTTCAAACGGAACGTGGTGAGTTTCAATGGTTCATCCACTTTGATTAAAGATACTAAAAATGAGAATCAAATTGTAAGCAAAAATAAGGGAGCAAAAGGTATCCTCATTTTATAGGACATAGAGTAAATAGAGTAGTGTCTCTTGTGCAGCTGTACTGCTAATTATCCATTTTGCTAAAATTTGACCTATATTTAAGATTTTTTCTGTTTAATTTCAACTGCTATTTTTCTCTAATCACTTGTTCAGAAAAATGAAAGGTATGTTAAACAGAAGTAGACTGTTTTATCTTCATAAACATAAAAATTAAGAAATTTACAAACAACGGTTCTCCATTCCATGGAAGAATCACTATTTTCAGTTGAAGAGCACTTCTATTGACTAGCTATGTTTACTGAGGTAAATTTCATACAGAATGAAAACACTCCTGTGAAGTGTACATTCCATTGGCACGTTGCACATTCAAAGTGCTGTATAGTGCTTCACTTACCTCCCTGAGAGTCAGTATGCAAAACTGACTCCAGCTCACAAAAAGACATTTACGGTTGTTTAGAGAAACCCTTTAATGCACTGTCTCTGGCAATTTACCTACTTGGGTTTCCTCATTACTCTGTCAGGCTGTGAACATCTGAGTCAGGCTTCTTGCCTGTGTACATAGTTATCCAAATTCATCAGGTTGTAACTTGCATCACTACTTGCCATCTTTTCATGGCAGAGTAGCTTTCAGCAAGTACATCTAAGTCTGAATACCAGTGAAATATCCATGTGAAAGCCTTGCTCCATTTACCTCATGATGGACACTGGGACTTCACCAGCTTGAGACCTCGGTGCATCCTACACACAACAGCGGGTTTGAGTACCTGCTTTAAATTTGAAGGAGCCTATGACTGGGGATGGAATTGCCATGTCACTGTGTTTCTTTATATATATATATCCTGAAATGTATCCTGGTTTAATGGCTCTATTTTTGAGCCAATTGAAGAAAAACAGATCCACCTTGAATCCAAATACTCAAGTGAAGTAAAACTGACTCAGAAGCATAAATATCATATCATTTAACTCATATAAGAATCTTACTACATATGCCCAGTTCTAAAGGAAAGACAGACAATCAGACAACAAAGTGATAGGTTAATAGCACTATTTCATTTTTCCAGTAAGGAAGTACAATATATGACTTGTTTACATTCTCACAGGACTCTTACATGTTTCTGTTTATCCAGAAGGGCCACTTTAGTACCTCTCAGATGGTGTATTACTCCTTCGATTTGCATCTTCCATGTCACAAGAGACACTGGGCAAATTTTTATGGGCCTGTCCATTTTTCCCTCTTCTTCGCAGAAACTTCCATCTTTTGTCCCTCTTTATGTTTCTGAAAGGAACTGTTATTTTTTGCATTAAGCTCAAAGTGTACATTTTCATTTACACACTTTGTAAATTTTTATTACATTCAATGTTTCAATTTGTCTTTTATTGCTTTGTCCTCATTTACTTTTTTAAACCTCCACTCCAAAATCAAAGGCCATCAAGAAATATCATGTTGCATATTTTGCAGTGGATTTTACTCCAAAGTTATTTCAGTTTACATATTTGATATCCTTTTTTTCAGTTTGAGTAAACTCTTTCAATGGAGGAAAATACTAAAGATGTGAATCAGCGGCTCATTTATACAACAGAGAATTTTTTGCCAATAGGAATTTTTCTCAGAAATGTGTTCATTTTCAGAGGACATTAACTACTTGTACATTGCAAAATGGTAATGAAAGTGTCTTACTTCACACAGAGGACTTTTGATGTGGTGAAATATTTCTCTGAAAAATTAAACTATGCCAACAACCTATATTCTCTCCACTAGTATATATTTAAATAAACTCTGAAAAATTGAATATTTAGAACACATCGCAGTACGTTATTGAAAATCGGTAACAAACAGAATTTTAATTTTTACTCTTTTTAAATTTATCTGATCATATGAGAGTTTCATTTTGAAGATGACAACAAACATAGAGAATGAGTGTGAGTAGACCTAAGAAGAAATGATGCTGAAAAATTAGAGGAGACAGTAAATGAATGAGGTATCAGTAGAAAGCAGAGAACAATTTGAGGAACATACAAGAAAAGAGGAAATAAATTGTGTCATAAAAAAAATAAAATGGCATGTTCCGCACTCATCTATGTAAACGGTGATGGGGTGTTAGTACCTCCAGTAAGGTTTAGTCATGGGGCCAGTCACAGCCACTGACATGAGTTTCCTCCCCGGACTGCACAGGTGCTTAATCTTACTACTCTGAAAGCTGTATAGCACACAAAACTCAGCTCACTAATACTTCTTTGTAATGATTACATTGCTCAAAATCTTTCGTAGCCTGCTACTTAGAAGTGCTACAAAATCATGTCTGTCAGGGTAGCTAATCATCCTACAGTGAACCTTAATGTTTATCAGGCCACTTTCACAGACTGAGGGTGTCAAATTCTCTTGAAGGGAATATATGTGTAAATATTAATGCATCACCAACTCAAGTTAGGAATGACATGTTCGTAATGGAAGATGAAAGGCTATTTTTCAATAAACCCTGGTTTTACCCAGGTGATATATAGACATAATATTTGTTATATAAAATCATCACTTGACAATAGTAGATGATTACAAGATTCATCTATCACAAAAAAGAAATATTAGAGTATGTGCCTGGTTCACACTCTGCTCTCAAAGACATATCGATGTCGTCACTGTTCCTTCTGGGGCCCAGCCAAAATAAGTACATAAAATGGCAAAATACTGTCAGACTCCCATTGCAAAAATTTTTAATTCGAGAACAAGAAATTGTAAAATTTAACAAGGCGGGTGTCGTTCCTCTAATCTCGTGGAATGCTTCCAAATGTGCTTACTAATTTAGTTTCTGAGCATGGTAGACGGCAAACATGATGCCCTTTACAGTATTTGAATAAATCCTGGTGCAGAGGAGCATTCAAGAAGTATCAAGCACATTAGAATCACTTTGTTGATGTTTCACTGTGATTTTTGTATATTTTTATTTTATCAGATCAACACAGAATAGAAAAGGGTGAGTTTAATAATTCTTTAAGTACAAAACACCACCTTCATACAGGTATGGATGACTATGGTTTTATATTTATACTATTCATTACTACTTTCTATGACTTTTAGTAATTTTTCTCTATTTGAATAACAACAATGCTTTACATATTCTATCTATCATTAATTTCTTCTGTAAAACTTAGTTCACTTTTCCCCACATCTATTATTTGATCATTTTTGATTGCAGTTATAAATTACTTCACTGATTTCAGCCATATTCTTCATTAGTATGGCAAGTGTACTTAGAAGAGAAAATGATGGTTTTTTCTAATCTTGACTTCCTCTTATAAGGATATTACCAATAGAACCACAATTTTATCAATAACTAACATGTGAAGGAATCGTTCAAATTCAAGGTTTACCATAAATAAACCATTGCCTCTAGGACTTCACTTGTTTTAAATTTTTGGAATTTAATTTTTCAAATGACAAACTTTTCTGTAACTACTTGTTCAGGAATTAAAATATATTTTAGAGGTAACCATGAAGATATTTCAAAATCACATGTCTACATATTACACAACTCAAGTAAGGCCAGTTCTTCACTGTCTGAGTTGACCCTGTCATATTTCATTTCATGATCACGTGTACAGATTTGTGGCTTTAAATGAGGTGAAAGCCATTGTGAGCTGAGACATGCCCTCTATAGCACACATTTAGTGACTTCCAGTACACTTCAGGGCTTTGCCCCTCACATGCTTGTAGCTCCCAAGCGGGAGACAGTGCACTCAGGGCATCATGAGCAGTCAGGTCTGCTTCCCCACACTTAACTCAGAGTTTCAAGTCACTTTTCTGCTTTGTCTATGGAATCTTCTGCTCTGCTTACCACACATCAAGGACACTACAAAGTATGTGACATTTTGTGACTGCCTACTTTCGCATATATAGAATTTTCCACATTTGACAAGTTGTAATGTGTGGCAGTACTTCATTTTTCTATGTAAATACCATTGTACTGGATGATAAGCTGCAATTGTTTTTAGCCATTTACCTATGGACTTAGGGATTCTTCCCAATTTGGGCTCCTGTAAATACTGTTTTTGTTGACATTCTTGTACAATTCCGTGCTTCAGGCTCGCTTTGACATTTAAAGGAGCCTACACTGGGAATGGAAATGTTGGGGTATATCAATTTCACTGAAAATTTGCCTTTAAAATGCCAGTATTTTTTAGACTCCCATAAAGAATTAGATGCACCCTGACACTGTAATGATAAGTAACATAATTCAGGTTATGCATCACACCGCTTCTCCTACATGCAATCGCCATATAATTTCAAACGCAAAAGAAAGGTACACAATAGGAAAGAGAGAGACAGGGAAAATAGCACTACTTCACATTTCCACTGAGCATATACACAATTTAAATTTTGCTACACTGTTTCCAACAATTCCTCCCCATTTTTTTTTTTTTTATAAATTCTCATTAGTGCTTTGGGTAGTGTTTCCCTACAGCCAAGGTCTACCTCTCTCTAATCCTGTCCCTGTGCCTTGAGGGTCCTGAACAAAAAGAAATAAATAAATGGCAAATTGATGTGAGACTCTCTTTGCTTTAACTTCTAACTATGGAGCAAGCAGCTCTGATAATCATCCAATGTGTCCTGCCTCTAATCTCATGTTACCCTTCCAAGCATAGCTACTAACTATCTCCTGAGCACTGCAGAGCACTCAATGTGTATCAGCGATATTAGAATCATTTTTGTTTCTATTTGATTGTGAGTTTGTTATGTTTTAATTTTCAGAACAACTCAGAAAATGGAAAGGTAAACTTTAATAATATTATATGTACTAATTACAATCTTGCTACAGTTATTTGTAATCATTTTGTAATCCTTCCTTCTTGATGTTTTTGAAAAAGGATCTGTTAGTGATTTTGATACATTCATAGTTGTAAAAATCCGTGAATCATCTTGTTTCTCCCTATGTCACTCTCACTCTATGATGTACTATCTCATTCACTATCTTTATTTTCTAATACTTCCGTTGATTTATTTTTATAAATGTGCTAGTTTTTGATCATTTGTTATTGCATATATACAAAATTTCACTTATTCCATCAATATATGTTTTGCAGAAAGACTTCAAACAGAAAGTGGTGAGTTTCAATGGTTCATCCAGTTTGATTAAAGATACTAAAAATGAGAATCAAATTGTAAGCAATACTAAAGGAGCAAAAGGTATCCTCATTTTATAGGTCATAGAGTAAATAGAGTAGTGTCTCTTGTGCAGCTGTACTACTAATTATCCATTTTGCTTAAATTTGACCTATATTTAAGATTTTTTACTTTTAATTACAACTGCCATTTTTTTCTAAACACTTGTTCAGAAAAATGAAAGGTATGTCAAACAGAAGTAGACAGTTTTATCTTCATAAACATAAAAATTAAGAAATTTACACACAACGGTTCTCCATTCCATGGAAGAATCACTATTTTCAGTTGAAGAGCACTTCTATTGACTAGCTATGTTTACTGAGGTAAATTTCATACAGAATGAAAATACTCCTGTGAAGTGTGCATTCGCTTGACACGTTGCACATTCAAAGTGCTGTATAGTGCTTCACATACCTCCCTGAGAGTCAGTATGCAAAACTGACTCCAGCTCACAAAAAGACATTTATGGTTGTTTAGAGAAACCCTTTACTGCTCTGTCTCTGGCAATTTACCTACTTGGGTTTCCTCATTACTCTGTCAGGCTGTGAACATCTGAGTCAGGCTTCTTGCCTGTGTACATAGTTATCCAAATTCATCTGGTTGTAACTTGCATCACTACTTGCCATTTTTTCATGGCAGAGTAGCTTTCAGCAAGTACATCTAAGTCTGAATACCAGTGAAATATCCATGTGAAGGCCTTTCTCCATTTACTTCATGATGGACACTAGGACTTCACCAGCTTGAGGCCTCGGTGCATCCTACACACAAGAGCAGGTTTGAGTACCTGCTGTAAATTTGAAGGAGCCTATGACTGGGGATGGAATTGCCATGTCACTGTGTTTTTTTATACATATATATATATATATATATATATATATATATTTATATATCCTGAAATGTATCCTGTTTCAATGCCTCTATTTTTGAGCCAATTAAAGAAAAACAGATGCACCTTGAATCCAAACACTCAAGTGAAGTAAAAATGACTCAGAAGCGTAAATATCATATCATTTATCTCATATAAGAATCTAACTACATATACCCAGTTCTAAAGGAAAGACAGACAATCAGAAACAAAAAGATAGGTTAATAGCACTATTTCATTTTACCACTCAGGAAGTACAATATGTGACTTGTTTACATTGTCACAGGACTCTTACATGTTTCTGTTTATCCAGAAGGGCCACTTTAGTACCTCTCAGATGGTGTATTACTCCCTCGATTTGCATCTTCAAAGTCACAAGAGACACTGGGCACCTTTTTATGGGCCTGTCCATTTTTCCCTCTTCTTGGCAGAAACATCCATCCTCTGCCCCTCTTTATGTTCTGAAAGGAACTGTTATTTTTTGTCATTAAGATCAAAGTGTACATTTTTATTTACAGCCTTTGTAAATTTGTATTACATTCAATATTTCAATTTGTCTTTTATTGCTTTATCCTCATTTACTTTTTTTAACCTCCACTCCAAAATCAAAGGTCATCAAGAAATATCACGTTGCATATTTTGCAGTGGATTTTACTCCAAAGTTATTTCAGTTTACATATTTGATATCCTTTTTTCAGTTTGAGTAAACTCTTTCAATGGAGGAAAATACTAAAGATGTGAATGAGCGGCTCATTTATACAACAGAGAATTTTTTGCCAATAGGAATTTTTCTCAGAAATGTGGTCATTTTCAGAGGACATGAACTATTTGTACATTGCAACATGGTAATGAAAGTGTCTTACTTCACACAGAGTACTTTTGATGTGGTGAATTATTTCTCTGTAAAATTAAAATATGCAAACAACCTATATTCTCTCCACTAGTATATATGTAAATAAACTCTGAAAAATTGAATGTTTAGAACTCATCGCAGTACGTTATTGAAAATCGGTAGCAAACAGAATTTTAATTTTTACTCTTTTTAAATTTATCTGATCATATGAGAGTTTCATTTTGAAGATGACAACAAATATAGAGAATGAGTGTGAGCAGACCTAAGCAGAAAAGATGCTCAAACCTTAGGAGACAGTAAATGAATGAGGTATCAGTACAAAGCAGAGAACAATTTGAGGAACATAAAAGAAAACAGGAAATAAATTGTGTCATAAAAAAAATAAAATGGCATGTTCCGCACTCATCTATGTAAACGGTGATGGGGTGTTAGTACCTCCAATAAGGTTTAGTCATGGGGCCAGTCACAGCCACTGACATGAGTTTCCCCCCAGACTTCACAGGTGCTTAATCTTACTACTCTGAAAGCTGTATAGCACACAAACTCAGCTCACTAATACTTCTTTGTAATGATTACATTGCTCAAAATCTTTCGTAGCCTGCTACTTAGAAGTGCTACAAAATCATGTCTGTCAGGGTAGCTAATCATCCTACAGTGAACCTTAATGTTTATCAGGCCACTTTCACAGACTGAGGGTGTCAAATTCTCTTGAAGGGAATATATGTCTAAATATTAATGCATCACCAACTCAAGTTAGGAATGACATGTTGGTAATGGAAGATGAAAGGCTATTTTTCAATAAACCCTGGGGTTACACAGGTGATATATAGACATAATATTTGTTATATAAAATCATCACTTGACAATAGTAGATGATGACAAGATTTATCTATCACAAAAAAGAAATATTAGAGTATGTGCCTGATTCACACTCTGCTCTCACAGACATATCAATGTCGTCACTGTTCCTTCAGGGGCCCAGCCAAAATAAATACATAAAATGGCAAAATACTGTCAGACTCCCTTTGCAAAAATTTTTAATTCGAGAACAAGAAATTGTAAAAATTAACAAGACGGATGTCGTTCCTCTAATCTCGTGGAATGCTTCCAAATGTGCTTACTAATTTAGTTTCTGAGCATGGTAGATGGCAAACATGATGCCCTTTAAAGTATTTGAATAAATCCTGGTGCAGAGGAGCATTCAAGAAGTATCAAGCACATTAGAATCACTTTGTTGATGTTTCACTGTGATTTTTGTATGTTTTTATTTTATTAGATCAACACAGAATAGAGAAGGGTGAGTTTAATAATTCTTTAAGTACAAAACACCACCTTCATACAGGTATGGATGACTATGGTTTTATCTTCATACTATTCATTACTACTTTCCATGACTTTAAGTAATTTCTCTCTATTTGAATAACAACAATGCTTTACATATTCTATCTATCATTAATTTCTTCTGTAAAACTTAGTTCACTTTCCCCCACATCTATTATTTGATCATTTTTGATTGCAGTTATAAATTACTTCACTGATTTCAGCCATATTCTTCATTAGTATGGCAAGTGTACTTAGAAGAGAAAATGATGGTTTTTTCTAATCTTGACTTCCTCTTATAAGGATATTACCAATAGAACCACAATTTTATCAATAACTAACATGTGAAGGAATCGTTCAACTTCAAGGTTTACCATAAATAATCCATTGCCTCTAGGACTTCACTTGTTTTAAATTTTTGGCATTTAATTTTTCAAATGACAAACTTTTCTGTAACTTCTTGTTCAGGAATTAAAATATATTTTAGAGGTAACCATGAAGATATTTCAAAATCACATGTCTACATATTACACAACTTAAGCAAGGTCAGTTCTTCACTGTCTGAGTTGACGCTGTCATATTTCATTTCATGATCACGTGTACAGATTTGTGGCTTTAAATGAGGTGAAAGCCATTGTGAGCTGAGACATGCCCTCTATAGCACACATTTAGTGACTTCCAGGACACTTCAGGGCTGTGCTCCTCACATGCTTGTAGCTCCCAAAGCGGGAGACAGTGCACTCAGGGCATCATGAGCAGTCAGGTCTGCTTCCCGACACTTAACTCAGCGTTTGACAGTCACTTTTCTGCTTTGTCTATGGAATCTTTTGCTCTGCTTACCACACATCTAGGACACTACAAAGTATGTGACATTTTGTGACTGCCTACTTTCACATGTATAGAATTTTACACATTTGACAAGTTGTAATGTGTGGCAGGACTTTATTTTTCTTTGTAAATACCATTGTACTGGATGATAAGCTGCAATTCTTTTTAGCAATTTACCTATGGACTTAGGGATTCTTCCCATTTTGGGTTCCTGTAAATACTGTTTTTGTTAACATTCTTGTACAATTCCGTGCTTCAGGCTCGCTTTGACATTCGAAGGAGTCCACACTGGGAATGCAAATGTTGGGGCATATCAATTTCACTGAAAATTTGCCCTAAAAATGCCAGTATTTTTTAGACTCCCATAATGAATTAGATGCACCCTGACACTGTATTGATAAGCAACATAATTCAGGTTAAGCATCACACCGATTCTCCTACATGCAATCACCATATAAGTTCAAACGCAAAAGAAAGGTACACAATAGGAAAGAGAGAGACAGAGAAAATAGCACTACTTCACATTTCCACTGAGAATATACACAATTTAAATTCTGCTGCACTGTTTCCAACAATTCCTCCCCATTTTTTTTTTTTATAAATTCTCATTAGTGCTTTGGGTAGTGTTTCCCTACAGCCAAGGTCTACCTCTCTCTAATCCTGTCCCTGTGCCTTGAGGGTCCTGAACAAAAAGAAATAAATAAATGGCAAATTGATGTGAGACTCTCTTTGCTTTAACTTCTAACTATGGAGCAAGCAGCTCTGATAATCATCCAATGTGTCCTGCCTCTAATCTCATGTTACCCTTCCAAGCATAGCTACTACTTATCTGCTGAGCACTGCAGAGCAATCAATGAGTATCAGTGATATTAGAATCATTTTTGTTTCTATTTGATTGTGAGTTTGTTATGTTTTAATTTTCAGAACAACTCAGAAACGAGAAAGGTAAAATTTAATATTATTATATGTACCAGTTACAGTCTTGCTACAGTTATTTGTAATCGTTTTGTAATCCTTCCGTCTTGATGCTATTGAAAAAGGATCTGTTTGTGATTTTGATACATTCTTAGTTGTAAAAATCCGTGAATCATCTTGTTTCTCCCTATATCACTCTCACTCTATCATGTACTATCTCATTCACTATCTTTATTTTCTAATACTTCCGTTGATTTATTTGTATAAATGTGCTAGTTTTTGATCATTTGTTATTGCATTTATGCGAAATTTCACTTATTCCATCAATGTATGTTTTCAGAAACACTTCAAACGGAACGTGGTGAGTTTCAATGGTTCATCCACTTTGATCAAAGATACTAAAAATGAGAATCAAATTGTAAGCAATACTAAAGGAGCAAAAGGTATCCTCATTTATAGGTCATAGCGCAAATAGTGTCTCTTGTGCAGCTGTACTGCTAATTATTCATTTTGCTTAAATTTGACCTATATTTAAGATTTTTTCTGTTTAATTTCAAATGCTATTTTTCTCTAAACACTTGTTCAGAAAAATGAAACGTATGTTAAACAGAAGTAGACTGTTTTATCTTCATAAACATAAAAATTAAGAAATTTACACACAACGGTTCTCCTTTCCATGGAAGAATCACTATTTTCAGTTGAAGAGCGCTTCTATTGACTAGCTATGTTTACTGACGTAAATTTCATACAGAATGAAAATACTCCTGTGAAGTGTACATTCTATTGACATGTTGCACATTCAAAGTGCTGTATAGTGCTTCACATACCTCCCTGAGAGTCAGTATGCAAAACTGATTCCAGCTCACAAAAAGACATTTATGGTTGTTCAGAGCAACCCTTTAATGCACTGTCTCTGGCAATTTACCTACTTGGGTTTCCTCATTACTCTGTCAGGCTGTGAACATCTGAGTCAGGCTTCTTGCCTGTGTACATAGTTATCCAAATTCATCAGGTTGTAACTTGCGTCACTACTTGCCATCTTGTCATGGCAGAGTAGCTTTCAGCAAGTACATCTAAGTCTGAATACCAGTGAAATATCCATGTGAAAGCCTTTCTCCATTTACCTAATGATGGACACTGGGACTTCACCAGCTTGAGACCTCGGTGCATCCTACACACAAGAGCAGGTTTGAGTACCTGCTTTAAATTTGAAGGAGCCTATGACTCGGATGGAATTGCCATGTCACTGTGTTTCTTTATATATATATATATATATATATATATATATATATATATATATGTATATATGTATATATATATATATATCCTGAAATGTATCCTGGTTCAATGGCTCTATTTTTGAGCCAATTGAAGAAAAACAGATCCACCTTGAATCCAAATACTCAAGTGAAGTAAAACTGACTCAGAAGCATAAATATCATATCATTTATCTCATATAAGAATCTTACTACATATGCCCCGTTCTAAAGAAAAGACAGACAATCAGACAACAAAGTGAAAAGTTAATAGCACTATTTCATTTTTCCAGTAAGGAAGTACAATATATGACTTGTTTACATTCTCACAGGACTCTTACATGTTTCTGTTTATCCAGAAGGGCCACTTTAGTACCTCTCAGATGGAGTATTACTCCCTCGATTTGCATCTTCCATGTCACAAGAGACACTGGGCAAATTTTTATGGGCCTGTCCATTTTTCCCTCTTCTTCGCAGAAACTTCCATCTTTTGTCCCTCTTTATGTTTCTGAAAGGAACTGTTATTTTTTGCATTAAGCTCAAAGTGTACATTTTCATTTACACACTTTGTAAATTTGTATTACATTCAATGTTTCAATTTGTCTTTTATTGCTTTGTCCTCATTTACTTTTTTAAACCTCCACTCCAAAATCAAAGGCTATCAAGAAATATCATGTTGCTTATTTTGCAGTGGATTTTACTCCAAAGTAATTTCAGTTTACATATTTGATATCCTTTTTTTCAGTTTGAGTAAACTCTTTCAATGGAGGAAAATACTAAAGATGTGAATCAGCGGCTCATTTATACAACAGAGAATTTTTTGCCAATAGGAATTTTTCTCAGAAATGTGTTCATTTTCAGAGGACATTAACTACTTGTACATTGCAAAATGGTAATGAAAATGTCTTACTTCACACAGAGGACTTTTGATGTGGTGAAATATTTCTCTGTAAAATTAAAATATACAAACAACCTATATTCTCTCCACTAGTATATATTTAAATAAACTCTGAAAAATTAAATATTTAGAACACATCGCAGTACGTTATTGAAAATCGGTAGCAAACAGAATTTTAATTTTTACTCTTTTTAAACTTATCTGATCATATGAGAGTATCATTTTGAAGATGACAACAAACATAGAGAATGAGTGTGAGTAGACGTAAGCAGAAAAGATGCTGAAAACTTATAGGAGTCAGTAAATGAATGAGGTATCAGTACAAAGCAGAGAAAAATTTGAGGAACATAAAAGAAAAGAGGAAATAAATTGTGTCATAAAAAAATAAAATGGCATGTTCCGCACTCATCTATGTAAACGGTGATGGGGTGTTAGTACCTCCAGTAAGGTTTAGTCATGGGGCCAGTCACAGCCACTGACATGAGTTTCCTCCCCGGACTGCACAGGTGCTTAATCTTACTACTCTGAAAGCTGTATAGCACACAAAACTCAGCTCACTAATACTTCTTTGTAATGATTACATTGCTCAAAATCTTTCGTAGCCTGCTACTTAGAAGTGCTACAAAATCATTTCCGTCAGGTTAGCTAATCATCCTACAGTGAACCTTAATGTTTATCAGGCCACTTTCACAGACTGAGTGCGTCAAATTCTCTTGAAGGGAATATATGTCCAAATATTAATGCATCACCAACTCAAGTTAGGAAAGACATGCTCGTAATGGAAGATGAAAGGCTATTTTTCAATAAACCCTTGAGTTACACAGGTGATATATAGACAAAATATTTGTTATATAAAATCATCACTTGACAATAGTAGATGATGACAAGATTCATCTAACACAAAAAAGAAATATTAGAGTATGTGCCTGGTTCACACTCTGCTCTCACAGACATATCGATGTCGTCACTGTTCCTTCAGGGGCCCAGCCAAAATAAATACATAAAATGGCAAAATACTGTCAGACTCCCATTGCAGAAATTTTTAATTCGAGAACAAGAAATTGTAAAAATTAACAAGACGGGTGTCGTTCCTCTAATCTCGTGGTATGCTTCTAAATGTACTTACTAATTTAGATTCTGAGCATGGTAGATGGTAAACACAATGCCCTTTAAAGCATTTGAATAAATCCTGGTGCAGAGGAGCATTCAAGAAGTATCAAGCACATTAGAATCACTTTGTTGATGTTTCACTGTGATTTTTGTATGTTTTTATTTTATTGGATCAACACAGAATAGAGAAGGGTGAGTTTAATAATTCTTTAAGTACAAAACACCACCTTCATACAGGTATGGATGACTATGGTTTTATCTTTATACTATTCATTACTACTTTCTATGACTTTTAGTAATTTTTCTCTATTTGAATAACAACAATGCTTTGCATATTCTATCTATCATTAATTCTTCTGTAAAACTTAGTTCACTTTTCCCCACATCTATTATTTGATCATTTTTGATTGCAGTTATAAATCACTTCACTGATTTCAGCCATATTCTTCATTAGAATGGCAAGTGTACTTAGAAGAGAAAATGATGGTTTTTTCTAATCTTGACTTCCTCTTATAAGGATATTACCAATAGAACCACAAATTTATCAATAACTAACATGTGAAGGAATCGTTCAAATTCAAGGTTTAACATAAATAAACCATTGCCTCTAGGACTTCATTTGTTTTAAATTTTTGGCATTTGATTTTTCAAATGCCAAGCTTTTCTGTAACTACTTGTTCAGGAATTAAAATATATTTTGGAGGTAACCATGAAGATATTCAAAATCACATGTCTACATATTACACAACTTAAGCAAGGCCAGTTCTTCACTGTCTGAGTTGACGCTGTCATATTTCATTTCATGATCACGTGTACAGATTTGTGGCTTTAAATGAGGTGAAAGCCATTGTGAGCTGAGGCATGCCCTCTATAGCACACATTTAGTGACTTCCAGTACACTTCAGGGCTTTGCCCCTCACATGCTTGTAGCTCCCAAAGCGGGAGACAGTGCACTCAGGGCATCATGAGCAGTCAGGTCTGCTTCCCGACACTTAACTCAGCGTTTGACAGTCACTTTTCTGCTTTGTCTATGGAATCTTCTGCTCTGCTTACCACACATCAAGGACACTACAAAGTATGTGACATTTTGTGACTGCCTACTTTCATATATATAGAGTTTTCCACATTTGACAAGTTTTAATGTGTGGCAATACTTCATTTTTCTATGTAAATACCATTGTACTGGATGATAAACTGCAATTGTTTTTAGCCAATTACCTATGGACTTAGGGATTCTTCCCATTTTGGGCTCCTGTAAATACTGGTTTTGTTGACATTCCTGTACAATTCTGTGCTTCAGGCTTGCTTTGACATTTAAAGGAGCCCACACTGGGAATGGAAATGTTGGGGTATATCAATTTCACTGAAAATTTGCCCTTAAAATGCCAGTATTTTTTAGACTCCCATAAAGAATTAGATGCACCCTGACACTGTAATGATAAGTAACATAATTCAGGTTAAGCATCACATCGATTCTCCCACATGCAATCGCCATATAAGTTCAAACGCAAAAGAAAGGTACACAATAGGAAAGAGAGAGACAGAGAAAATAGCACTACTTCACATTTCCACTGAGAATATACACAATTTAAATTTTGCTACACTGTTTCCAACAATTCCTCCCCATTTTTTTTTTATAAATTCTCATTAGTGCTTTGGGTAGTGTTTCCCTACAGCCAAGGTCTACCTCTCTCTAATCCTGTCCCAGTGCCTTGAGGGTCCTGAACAAAAAGAAGTAAATAAATGGCAACTCAGAATAGAGAATGGTGGGTTTTAGTAACATTTTATGTACAAAATACAACCGTCCTACATGTATGCATGATTACTTTCTTACCTTTCTACTATTCATTACTAATTTATACAACTATCAATTTGTAATTTTTATCTAAACTAACAACAAGAATCCTTTAAATATTTTATCTATCTTTCTCTTCTCTTAAAGTTAAGTCACTTTTCCCCATATCTATTATTTGATCATTTTGATTGCATTTACAATTACTTCACTGATTTCAGCAATATTCTTCATTTGTTTTGCAAGTAAACTTAAAATGTAAAATGGTAAGGTTCTAGTCTTGATCTGCTCTCACAAGGATATCACCCATAGAGCCATATTTTTAGCAGCAACAAAGATGTAAATGATATCTTCATCTTCAAGGTTTAGACTAAGTAAAGCATTCCCTCTAGCACACTTCTACTACTCAGTTTGCTTTTTTCTTTCATTTAATCTGTTTTCAAATTGTTTCCTGTTTGCTTTTTCAAATGTCAAATTTTTCTGTAACTACTTGTTCAGGAAAATAAAAGATACTTTAGACTTCATAGGAAGATATTTCACCATCACATGTGTACAAATTATGGAACTTAAGCAAGGCCAGTTCTTGACTGACTGATTTGATGTGGTCTTATTTCATGATTGATTGATTTTACTGATTAGTTGCTTTAATTGAAGTAAAAGCCATAATGAGTTGACACCACCCCTCTATAGCTCACATTCAGTGATTTCCAGTACACGTCAGAGCTGTGCTACTCTCACCTGCTTGTAGCTTCTAGAACAGCTGCTGGTGCACTAAGGGATCTGCTCTGCGTCCCCACACTCAGTCTTTGACAATCACTGTTCTGATTTTTCTCTATGGATTTATCCTCTCTGGTTACCTCACATCTACGACCCTACAGTGTATATGACATTTTGTGGCTGCCTACTACCAACTGTGCAGGCTTTTTCACATTCACCGTATTGTATTATGTGTCAGTTCTTTATTTTTATTTTGTGACTAATATTCCAATGGATGAATATGCACAATTTTTATTAACCATTTAGCTATGCACTTAGGGATTCTTTCAGATTTGGCCTACTGCGAATACTGTTTACATGGATATTCCTGTATAAGTGAACCTACCGCAGTCCTTGCACCTCTGTCTTCTAAATAGTGAAATTACAGGCTTGTTCCAACACACCAACTATCAATGATTTTATACTATATTTTATTATCCTTCTGTTTCCTTGTAATTCTTCTATATTTTTTATTTCTCAGATCAATTTAAGTAAAAGGATAGTAAACTTTAATAACACTTGATGTACAAAATATAATCTTATCTTTATACCTACTTGATTTTTGCATTCTTCCTTTCTCCTTATTGCAAATATTTCTGCAATTTTTATGGTTTCCAACTAATAAAAACCCATTAGTCAATCCTGTTCTCCTCCTTTTATGCCATCTCCACTTCTTCCTTCTTTTTTTCTTCCTTCTGAACCTCATATTTTCCAACAAGTTAATTCACCTATTACATGTACCTTTCCGTTTCTGTATTGCACTACACCATAGCTCTGTCCAGGACATTAAATATGGACTCCTTCTTTGGGCTCTTAGATGAATGAACTTTTGGTAAGATAATGAGACTCATTGCACTTCCCTTGCCCAGCACATCATTCTGAAAGTAATTTAAGAGCTGTCCTTGGGTGGGTCCCTGGAGTAGAAGGCCACCCACCCACTGTGCCTCGGGGTAAAACCACGGGCTGCTGTCCCTTGAAGAAGGACCATGGCACTGGGTTGCGGTTTCCCCTTTAGATTTTAACAGACCTGCACGCCAGTGCTCTCCTCTCCCTTCTTCAATCAGAGGAGCAACACTGCACATGACCCAGATAGCACTCAACGGAGTAGTTTGCTAAATGTTTTAGCAAATGCCTAGTTTATGGAAAATAATGAAAAACTGTAACTAGAGTTGCACTGGTGTCGTATGACAGGGCAGTAGCATAAATATAAGTGTTCTAATTTAAGCACAAAAAAAATACTTCATGGGAGAATTTGATCATTCACTCCTTAAATTTCAGCTGAAAAATTATTCCTGTATACTTGTTGTTTTTTCTTTCCTTTACTTTGTTCAAGAAGTGTTCAAAGTAAATATAGTGATATTAAAAATCTTAATAAACTAACCCATGTAATTTTACACAATCCTATCAAGCAAGGGATTTCTTCATTCTCTGATGTTAAAACTGAGTTTTCACATTTGTTTTTCAGACAAGCTGCGACAGGAAATTGGTAATTTTATTCTTCCAAATAAAATATTTATAAATTTCTCTCATCTCTAAAGGAATCTCTTGTTTCACTTCATCTTTCATCTTTATGCTTCTATGTTATGGTGTGTGATCAGATGCTCCCCACCCCAGTCTCATGCAATCATGGAGGAAGCTGAATCTAGCATTTGTGACTGTTTCAGTTGTCTAATTTTAAGATAGGTTGTGTGAGTGCCTTACTCGCTCAGGGGCAGGGAAGCAGCATACAATGCAAGGGAAGGAAGGAGGCTGCTTTCCCTCTTTTGCATGTTGGCTCTTGTTGTTTGCTGCCACCATGAAAGGCTGTCTCTCATGCATGCCACCCTGCCTTAAAGGCAGCTCAGTATGGGCTTAAATTTCCAAAAACCTGTCAGACAAATAAACCTTTTCTTGCTTGATTTTGGGTGTCATATATTTTGTCTCAGCAATGAGAGAAAAAAACCAAGAAATTACCTGAATACATTTTGAAATTCAAGTTGCCACTCTATAATAGTTAAAATGCTAGAAATAAGTTGCCTGTTTATCTTGATGAAATGTGTAATATTATAAGATTCAGCTTGATTTTCTTCCATGAGAATCAATATTAGAAAGCAGCAATGACGGGCAGTGTTACACTAATAATGACTGTAATGAGTCTTAGAGGAATGCAGGTCTTTTTTATGTGTCTTTATCTCATTAAGAGGCTCAAACTTATGTGCTCATCTCCTTTCAGATGACAGGAAAGCTCAGTTCGAGAATGGTAAGTAACTCAGAAATTCTTGCACAGTTCCAATGCGATAAATAATAAGATGTCTTAATCTCTCCTAACCTAGGTGCAGAAAATCAGGCCTAAGATAATATTGCCTGAAATCACTGTGTGGGAATGAAGGATGAAATACAAGGAATTCAGTTTTTTCTGGTTTGGAATATTTTAATGTGCTTAGGAAAGTACTTTTATGCACATTTTGTACATTTTTTTCACTTCTATTCCCACTGATTTTTCTCTCTTTAAATATGTGTCTCAACCTCTGTTCTTTACCCTTATTCTAATTCTTGTCTTTTTATTCTTATGTCTTCCCCTCTTCCTCCCTTTCTGATGTTTCCTTCTTTCTTTCTCCTGTCTTATTTCCATTTTTCTTCTATTTTTCCTTTTTCCATTTTCATTTTTCAAACTCTCCATATTTCTTTCCACATTGTTTGGCATTTTTTCTTGCCTTGAAATTTCCTTTCTTTGCTAGTTTATAGCTTATGTTTTTGTCAATATTTGAATTTCTCTCTTCACTAAAAGGAAAATATTATTAAGATGAGAAAAGGAATTATTGTAAAAAAAGATGAATAACTATTGTGAGGAAGAATACAGACACAAATAAAAAAGGCAGCTGAATAGTTACAGAATAACAAGGATAAAATAAAAAGACCAAGATTCATTCATGATAAAAAAATTTACAGAGAGCAGCAGTCATGGACAAAAAGAGAACCAACAAGTCAATATACCTTTTTCCATGATCCAGGAGCACCTGTGGGCCAGGAAAAGAACCAAGAAATTACCCAATGCTCTTATGAGCCAGCACTAGAAAGTGAACCAAAAAGTCAGCCCACCCCTCCCACAAGCCAGCAGTAGATGTCCACTGGGAAGAAAACCAAGAAATCAGCCAACCCTCTCCATGAGCCAAAGCAGCCATGGGGGCTGGGGAGAGAAGCAAGAAGTCAGTCCTTGCCGTCCTATGATCCAGTCAGTGCATGAGCCAGGGAGACAAAAAAACTACTCCCCATCCCAGTGTAGACAATCATCTCATTTGGAGGAATAGGCTGGAATGATAACATCTTAAGTTGAAAAGCAATGTAGTGATTCTGTTGATTGATTGGCTTTGAAGGCCTGGGAGCAGTAATCTAAGCATCTGTTCAAGGGTTTAAAAGATGCAATAGAGAAATAATGAGGGACTCCTTTTGTCTTGTTTTTGAAATCCAGCACTGTTCTCACTGTTTAATTTTTTTCCATTTTATACTTTTATTTTATTCCATTCAAATTAAAAATAAATAAATGAATAAATTTTAAAATACCCTACAGACTATCAGAATGGGTGATTTTATCTCAGTCTGATAAAAGCCATCTATAACAAACCAACAGTAAACTACACACTAAATGGTCAAAAGCAGAAAGCTTTTACTCTAAAATCAGGACCAAAACAAGGATGTTCACTATCACCCCTCCTCTTCAATATTGTTCTGGAAACATTAGCCAGAGCAATTAGACAAGAGAGAAAAATAAAAGGAATAAGGATAGGAAAGGAGGAAGCACTATTATCATTATTCACAGATGACATGATGTTCTACATAGAAAACCCAAAAACTCCAGCAAATAATGAAATTCAGTTATGTAGCTGGATACAAAGTGAACCCTGAAAAATCAATAATGCTCCTGTTTCACAAAAAACAAATTCATTGATATAGAAATAATGGAAACAAAACACTTCACAATAGCATCCAATTGAAATACTTCATCCAAAATGAAATACTTAGGAATCAATGTAATGAAATATAATTTGTACATATTGAAAATTACAATACTCTGAAAAAGAAAATCAAAGAGAAAAGTGGAAAATAGAAAGCTTTCCCTTGTTCATAGATAGGAAGAAAGAACGTAGTGAAAATGGTCCTACTCCCTAAATAATTGTACAGATTTATACAATCCTGTTCAAAACACCCCTAGCATACCTCATAGCATTATAGAAAATATCCCTAATATTTGCTTGAATCCAAAGAGATTTAGAATAGAAAATCTGATTCTGTGCAACAAAGGTAAAGCAGTAGGCACCATAACTCCTGACTTAAAATTATACCACAAAACTACTGTGATGATATTATAATTCAAAACTACTGGGAAAAGCAAACCTAAGTATCAGTGGAACAGATTAGAAGATGCACACACAAGCGCAAGAAACTCAGCCATCTTATATTTCACAAAGGGCTGAACATATTCACTGGAAGAAAGATAGTCTCTTTAAGAAATGGTCCTTCAGGGGCTGGGGATTTAGCTCAGCGGCATAAGCACCTGCCTTGAAAGCAGGCAGTCGTGAGTTCGATCCCTGGTACCGGTAAAAAAAAAAAAAAAAAAAAAAAAGAAATGGTCCTTCAAACACTGGCTGTTTACATACCAATACTAAAACTAGACCTGTATCTATCACCATGCACTAAACTAAAGTCAAAATGGATCAAAACTCTAAATGGCAGTTATGGACCAAGAAGAGAACCAGAAGTCAAGCCACTCTTACCATGAGCCAGGAGTACTTTTGGGCCAGGAAAAGAACTGAGAAGTCACACGACACTTCTAGTGAGCCAAATCTACTGAAAGAGAAATCAGGTAGCAATCTTGAAGACATAGGTATAGGCAGAGACTTCATTAAAAAAACAAACAAACAAACAAACAAAAAACAACAAAAAAAACTGCACTGGAAATACTTCAAAGAACCAGCAACAGGGGTCTTGTCTTATTAAAAAGCTTTTTCACATCAAAAGTACTCATCAACAACATAAAATAACAACACAGAGAATGGCAAAAATTTTAGCCAACTTTGAAGTGCTTAGACAAAGCACTTCGATTTAGAACACATAAAGAATTTAAAAACAAACAAACAAACAAAAAAACCAAAAATGGGCATTTGAGAATGAATGCATCTTCTTAGATGAAGAAATAGAAATGGAAAATAAATACATGAACAAATGTTCAGCATCATTAGTCATTTGAGCGATGCAAATTAAAACATTGAGATACATCTCACTCGAGAAATAATGGCTACTATCAAGGCATCAATCAATACCAAAAGCTGGATGGGCAGTGGGGGAAAATTAACACTTCTCCACTCTTGTTAGGTGTGCAGGCTGATGCACCCACTGTGGATTTCAGTGTGGCAATTCCTCAAAAGTAGGATTAGATGTCCCATTCTCTGTAGCTATTTCATGGTACCTTCCTGGAAGATTTAAAAATATCATACCACAGCAATATATGTGCAGGCATGTTTATAGCAGCACGGTCTGTAATAGCTAAATTTAGAAGCATCCCAAATGCCCAATAACTGAGGAATGGATAAAAAGGATGCGAAATCTTTATATAATGGAGTACTACTTGACAATAAAGAAGCACTGATTTAAGACTTTTACATGTAAATGAAGGTACCCTGAGATGATATTCGTAAGTGAGGTAAATCAGATTCACAAGTGTAAGCATCATATTGTCTTCCCAGTGTGGGAAAAGGAAATAGTTAATAAGGTCTATAATGTACAACAGTTAATGTGAAAAGGGAAGAAATGCTTCACAAGGAAAAAGGAAACATTATGGTGGAAAGATAAAAGAATGATGGGAAAGGGGAAAAATTCAGTTCATCTGTATAATAGTGTCTTTCAGTTTAATGAAATGGAAGGTTCTGTGGTGTTGTCAATTAGAGAATGCGTGTATTATTTGATGCCCGTATCTTGTACACGGAGTAATTACTTTAAGGATAACAGTATGTAATGTATTACCTTTTGCTACTCTAGTATTATTTTATGTTTTGCATAATATAGAATATAAATAAGAGGAAATGATATGACAAGAACCAGAAAAATAAACGATGTCTCCTCATTTTGTACACTTTCAGGCTGGCAGAATTCATATTTGTTCCCTGGTGAGTAACTTTGTCTTTGATAATTACCCTTGATCCAAAGGCATAAAATTATGTAAGACAGCATACTATGAAATGCAGAGCGAAATTTATACTATCTAACTTCTGTTCCAAAAAGCCTTAACAAGTACAATAACTTTCTAAATATTTTGGGTTTTTCTCACCTCTTTCTCCTGACACGTAAAAGTAAATAAAAATAGATACTAAGAAATGAATACAAAATTTTGTTTACTCTGTTGAATCTACCTTCTCTACAAATTCAATAGGTGTTAATTTCCCCTACTTAACAGTGATTGTACCATATTTTTCTTTATTTTAGTGTCCTTTAATCATATTTATGATTTTTGCTTTGAGGTTTGTGTTTGTTAATCCCAATTGTGAGTCCCATTTCAAACGGTTACTACTGAGGCTTCTCTTCCTGGGTATTTTGCATGCTTTCCTGTCCTGTGCATGCCTTATATTATTTGGTTGCAAATGAACTAATACAGAATACAGATTCCAATTTTGTTCCTCCCATGGAGACAGCTAATGCTATGGATGTTTTAGGTTTGTTTAACAACTTGCAGAGATTAAATTCACATTCTGTCTCTCAATTAATGTGTGACTAGGTCTCTGCTCAGCATTATTCACTACATTCTTTAACTGGCCTTTATAGGTCTCATCCACAGCTCAGAAATCGTAGGCATAAAAGCACTTTGAGCAAATAACATTTTCTCAGTGGTTCAATGACATTGTATTTGCTTTAGAAATCCCTTCCAATTTCAAGCAGTTATGTAGATTTCCTCACATTTCACTATGTGCATACTTGGTGTCAAATATGCAACCAAGGATGGTTAAATAGACAAGCACTAATTTTTCATACTGAACATATGTGTAAAATTGTGTATTTGGAGCCTCCAAGGGAACAGGGATCTATCAAAGCTCACCAAGGTGTACAGTGGTTATATTGTAGCACTCAGGAATATTTATCAGTCACTTGCCCAACCCCGCACATAACGTGATAATAGTGGCAAAGAGAGCCAACCACGAATTCTTGAAACTGTTTCTGGAGGGCTCCATTCCTGCAGGTTTGCTTTTAACAGATTCCTAGGGCATCAAATTTTTAGAACTCTATCTCTAGCAGTTTAAACCCTTTAGCAACTACATTACTGAAATCCATGGTTTGCTGTGACCTTGTAGAGTCAGCACCAGGCACTTAGGACTGTAGCAGGACCTACCATCCAGAGTAGCAGCATTTACTGTGAAGCATCACACTTTTCCTACAGTAGTGTTTCTGAGTTTCTTGTGTGACTTTCTAAATTTCTTGAACTCTAAAATGCTCATCTTTGAAAAACTAATTCTCTTAGTCTTTTGAGGAAATAACTGGGCATGCTAAGTCAGCTTGCTCCAAGTTTTATAGGCATCCAGTTAGTGTCATGTATCAACACTGACATCCAAAGTTCCAATACAGACACATTTGCCTAGCTGATTTATGTTCTTTCATATCCCACTGTACAGGTGCTGTCATTATGGCTGTAAAATCTATCATCTCAATTTGTTGTATCCCTTAAGTAACTATATACATTGACCAAATTACAGCATTCATTTCTTTGTTTCATCTCTGTCTCTTATTATGATTGGTCTATAAAGAGTTGGCAAAAATTCTGTATGAAGAAGCAGATAAGGAGTATTTTAAGGATTATGTGCTTAATTGTCCCTGTCACAACTAGTCAATTCTATGCCTGATGCTTGAAAAGAGCCATAGGCAATAAATGAATGAATTGCTGTGACATGTTCTGGCAAAATTCTATTTACAGAAAGAGATTTGGAACTGATTTTGGCTTCTTGTTCATAACATAACTCCTAGAGTAAAATTTTATACAGCCTGAAAATCACTCAACTATAGAGATGTCTAATTGAGTTCATATTTTTTATCAAGTGAATAATTATGTTACATGTAATTTATCTTCAATAGTGGACCATTACACCCTCACTGAATGGCATCATGTCCAAGTACTGATGCTTTCACATGCAGACCTTCCAAGCCTCTTGCACACAGCACTGCATTTAGTGAGCAACAATGTGATTCCCTAAAACCTCTTTCTAGATAAACAATGCGACACTGCCACATGATCTGCTTTCCACATCACACATACAGCTTTAACAAGATTTCTTTGCTGCCTGTCATGGACGACTGTATATGCAGACAGCCTTCTCTGCTTTCCTACTCCTGTTGCCTAAACTCCATCAAGTCTACAAATTGGAAGCAATCAATACAGGACTTTAGTCTAAGCCTGCATATCTAAATCCTGAGGCACTGTTAATTATTTTTGTAAAACATGGACTGATTTTACTCAGTAGGGAGTTAATCACAGTTGTCAGGTGCAAGTATGGGGTATTCTGCACTCATACAAATTATAATCTAAATACCCTGAATATTCCTGGAAACTCTTCAGAATGGTGCCTTTAATACTAGGAGTTGTTAATACACTAGTCTTCTACACTCTCCAATTTACTTACAGCCTTTCCTACCAGGGGTAAGACACTGTTTTAGTAAGAGCAAGAATGGAGAAACTCTCCTGGTTTACTCTCAGGTGTGGAAATTGTACGGTGACCACTGTGCATAGTTCATCGGCCACATTGGGATAGTTCTCCCACATAAATGTATGAGGAAGCTGATGGCAGAATGTGTGATTTCATTATTTCTCAGGAAGAGAGTAACTATATCAAGTAACTATATCCTAATCTATATCTGAAATCTACACCACAGGACATACAAATCAGAGCTATTAATTTCTATATGAACATTTAATGATGGACAAAGGAAAACACATTTCAAACAAGAGGTGCGGAATAAGTTTGAGAAATTACCAAACAGGAAAACAAACAAAAGAAAATATTTTAAAAGAAAAAAAATTTGTCGTGTGAGAAATTGAAATGCAATTTCTAATAATATATATTTTTGCTCTTTTCAGACTGGAGGAAGAAATACTACCAAGCTGGTGAGTCTGACCATCCAAGAGTGACTACACTCCTCAGGCTCTGCACAGTCTCAGGGGAGCTCTTACTATGGGACAGATGACAGGAGCCTTGGGGCAGTATATTCTCCTCACTGCCCCCAGACATCTCAGGTTTTAAAGCCATCCTAATTACAAGATCACTCCAGTCTTCTGAGAGATTAAAAGGCTGGTCTCCTTTGCAGCAAATGTGACTCTGGACCCATACACAGCCCATCCTGCCCTCATCTTGTCTGAAGAAAGACGAGTTTCTATGGGGGAGAAACCTCAAGATCTTCCTAGGAGCCAGATGAGATTTGAATCCCTTCCCTGCGTGTTGGGTAAACAGTCCTTCAGCTCAGAGAGGCACTTCTGGGAGGTGAAGGTCAACAGCTGTACAGGTTGGGACCTGGGAATCTGTCGGAGTAACGTGATGAGGAAGGAGAGGACTTACATAAAACCTGAGGATGGCTTCTGGGCCATTAGATTTTATAACCATGAGTACTGGGCACTCACCTCTCCAAAGACTCAACTCACTCTAAAAAAGCCCCCTGGCAAGGTCTGCATTTTCTTAGACTTTGAGGATCAACGTATCTCCTTCTACAACATGACAGACAACAGCCACATCTACACCTTTTCTCAAGGTGCTTTTTATGGATCCCTGAGACCTTTCTTCAGGCTTTGGTCCAAGGATTCAGGACATCTGGATATCTGTCCACTCCCTAAGGAGCCGGAAGCTTAATGTTGACCCTAACTCTCCCCTCACTGTGGTTGTGCATACATAATATCCCCTAAAGATTAGTGAGGGCTGAAACATTGGTCATGGCATGGATGTTCCTATACTACAGCACATTGTTTTACTCAGTCTTTCCATTGCTCTTCCAATCATTTAATTTCCCTTATAAATTGTTATCAAATATTATGTTGCAGTGTAACGCAATTGTTGCTTATGCTCTGATTAATACAAATATATAAATAAGCATGTAAATCAAAACATGCACGTATTGTAATCAAATCCTTATTACAGAGTTACACAGGGAAATGTGCACTGCCTATCCCAGGTCAGGTTCTCAAATATTTTACAATCCTAGCAATAAAATTGATTAAATCCTATTGTGTATTTTGGGTTATCTGATCTGGTTATGAAATGACACACATAAAAATCAAATTACAGGGGCTAGAGGTTTAGCTCAGCGGCATAAGAGCCTGCCTTGCAAGCAGGCAGTCATGAGTTCAATCTCCAGTAACGATAAAAAGGAAAAAGACAAAAAAAATCAAATTACAATGTTTCAAATAGCAAAACAATCAAAGTGTTCTCAGTTGTCCAAAATACTATCACATTCAGGAATAAACAAGTGTGCCAGTCTCATTCCTTAGACTCCTGTGTGGGAATTATGCCTGTAATATATTCTTACACCATCACCCCCTTCTTTATCCTCTGACACAGTTATTCTGTACTGGGTTTTCATCACAGTTTATTTTGGAGGGCACTTTCTTAACATATGTGACAAATTTTCCTGCATTTAACATCGGTATGATCTTCAATTAATGGTTTGATTTCTATAGCCACTGTACATAAGATATGTATGGTTCCATTAGACAAATAAAATTTCCCATGCTGTTCCTTTGTGATCAGATTCTCCCACACACTCATCATGGATACAACTGACTAACTTTATAATTCTACAGTTTTGTATTTTGCAGGAGGTCCCATTAGTATTCACCTAATGTGTAATATTTTGAAGAGGGTTGCTTTCCTTCTGTGTAATTCTCTACAGGTCCATACATAATAACATATATAGAATTTAGTTATTCACTGAGTAGAGTTACATAGAATAAATTTACTATTATTTGTTTATTCCTTCATGATATACACTGGTGCTAATTCAGTTTGGAGTGGTTATGAATAGTACAGGCATAAGTATTCAGGTAAATATTTTATATGAACATTTTTTTCATTTTTGTGGTATATAGATACTTGGAGTTGTGGTTTATAACTTTATACATTCATAGGGCTGTATCTTGGGTGCTTGCTGGATCATGGGTATATGACACTTATTGATGGATGCTTCCCCGATGGGTATGCAGCTGGGAGTGATGTTGGGAATTGAAGCCTGGGGGAAAGAGATGAATCACTATGCATCCTACCTGAAAGGGTATGTATCCCTCCTCTTCCATTTATTCCTCCTTGCTTCCATGTCACAGAACTGTCTCCTCTCCCATACCCCAACTGCTATCTGGGATGCCTTGGAGCCAACCAACCTGTTGAACTAAATTAAACCTTTTCTTCTGCCTCTCTGTTGCTCTCTCTCTCTCTCTCTCTCTCTCTCTCTCTCTTTCTTTCTCTCTCTCTTTGTAGTGGGAATCAAAGTCAGCACCTTGTGCTTTCTGGCAGGTGCTTGTGCCACTAAGATATACCCCTAATCCTATCTTTTCTTACTTAACTCCTAGTTCTTGGGTACTTGATCTCAGCATGTGAAAGAAACTAAGACACTTTATCATACTCTAAGAGTAGACTCAACATTAATAGAAACCACCATAGTCTTCCATAAGAACCATACCATTGTACATTCCCTCTACAAAAATATGTTTCAAATTCTGCACATATTTACTGGCCTTTAATATTATCAGAACTATTTGTAGTTTTCCTTTTTTATTGCTTCAATCATATCTATTAATATTTTTCCTAAGCATTATGGCATATAATCTATCTGAGGATTCATCAGGGTGAGTACTTGGAATCAAAACATTTTATTTTTCTTTTCTTTTTTTTTAAATTTTATTTAAGAAGAAAAAAAGCAGAGAAAGGGTACAAGTTATACAGATTTACAGAAAAAAATAAACAGTGGGAAATCACTAGTTAATGGATTACATATTGCATCCTAGAAATAATTGTTCAAGTCACAAAATTAAAGCTTGTAAAGTGGACATTCCAACAGTGAGACTGCAAACAGTTCCGTTCAATGATTCAATAAAACTCAGTGATATCATTTTCTATCTTATACACTTAAATATACATGCAGTTATATCGTTTAGAGCACTTTCTTTTCCTCTCTTTTGTACAATGACAATTACACATTTTGGGTTTTGTTGCTCCCACAGTTCTTATTACTTTTTTGGAAGGGAGTAGAACCAAATGTGACCTAACAGAACAGAGTCAATCAAATCAAAAGGGTGGACATAATAGATAATGTAAAAACATAATACAAGGTGATCAATAATGGTTACCATAATGCCTCCCACTATCTCTAATAGAATTGCCTATATCATCAGTCACAATAAAATTGAACAAAACAGTAAAGAACAAAACTGACAAAACCAAAACATTGGAGACATTATAGGTCTTCAAAAGTAGATAAAAGTCAATGAGAATGGGTGTCATAATGAATCTCACTATCTTCACCAGGTTCGAAACTTTAGGCAACAGCTGTGAAGATAGTGAGATTCATTTTATTTTTCTTTAAGGCTCACATTCATGAAGGTGTATCTATAGGTCTAAGGAATGGAATTCCTTTTAACTGTACAGCTCAAAACATTTGGTACAGTAATCTTGGAAGAACACTATTCCAGTCAAGATGCATACTGAAATCACCTAAATATGTTTGCTCATGTCATTCTGGGTCAATCTTAACATTACTAAAGAGGGATGACTATATACCTGCTGTTTATCACTATTAATAGATGTCAATTATAGTTTATAATTCTCTATACTTTATGGTTTAAATCAAATCACCCTTTTCAAAGACATGATGATGAGTTTTTAAAGGCCAGAATTGAAGTGCTCTGATTTCAAATGAGAATGCTCCACATAATGGGCTTATATCCAGGGTTTCTGGAAGGTGACTTAATTGTAGAGCAGCCATACCACATTGCTGTTAGATCATAGGGCCATGTATAAAGAAGCAGATCACAGAGAGCTTAACATGAATGAGTATATTTCCTCCCCGGTTTCTCTAGTCTCTCTTCTCCCTGGCTGTCATGATCTAAGCAACTTACTTCCTTCCTGAATCCACCCAAGCATAGACTGAAAAAGAAAGCCAAATGAAACCGCTCCTTTAAATTTCAGGTTTGGGTAGTCAGTCCCCAGTAATGAGGAAAGAGAGTATACCAGGCATGAAAACACAGCTACATAAAAGGAATAAGCTCTGCTGTTCTCTATCATGGTAGGAAGAATATAATTCAGAGCTTCTTAAGTACTTAATGAAGATCTGGAAGAGAATGCAAAAGCTGCAAACAGAGAAAAACTATTTCTATTTGAAAAGTACATTATTTTTACATATGTTGAAATGTAACACTGGACCCCATCAATTATTGACTAAACAAAATCACAACTAAAATTTGAGGGACTGAGGTGAATGAGAACAAGAAGTCACAATGAAGAAAGCCCTCCCTGCCAATCAGCACTATGTGCGAGCCACTGGGTGATAGGCCAGAACCCAGCATTTTCCCATGAGTCATTGCACCACTGTAGGTAAGAGAACAAGTCACCAAGAAGCAAGCCCTCCCTGAAAATTGGTGCCATGCGATGACAGCTTGAGGGAAAGCCAGATGCTAGACCATTCCAGCATGTGGGCTGGGAAACAAAAAGAGCCAAATCTCATCTCTCCTCTGTTATAAGCAACCTACTGATCTGGAGAAACACAGGCTGCAATGATAGCTATTGAGGTAAAGTGCAACTTATGCACTTTTATTTTTTAATTTTGTTTTAAAGAGGGTAAAATTCAACACAATACAACAGAACAAAACAGAACAGAAGAAAGCAGTTTAAGACATATAAATTTCAAAGCAAGACAATCAGAGTTCTTCACTATCATATTGTCTCTTTTCTTCCAAATAGTTAACCATAACTTCAAATAGAGAGAATTCACATCAAACAACATAGTATATAAGTGATCTGAACAAGATGAGGATGGTGTTTTAGGTATTCAAGATCAGACAACAGGGAAGTCAACAATGGCTGTCATTGTGTCACTCATTCTCTTCCAAATAGCTGTCCATATCTTCATGTGTGTTAAAATTAAGCAAAACAAAACAGACTAAAATCATTCTGAACAATAATAATAATAGTATTGCTGGATTTCACACCATGATGCTATGGGATCAGCCCTGGGTACCTTACTGTCTCTTTTTCATCAAAGTAGTTGTTTGTTTCATCATGCATTATATGATCAGTTCTCATAAACTCTTTATAGGTTCTATGCATACATGAATCTCTGCATGTATTTCTATTTTTCTGTATTAAAGGGAGAAACAAAACAAAGCAAGACAAAACAAAACATATTCCTATAAAACCATGAAACAAAATGTCATATAAAATCACAGTACAAAGTTTTCTACAATGGTTACTGTGTTGTCTCTTGTTATCTTCAATAGAATTGTCCATATGATAAAGCATAGTCTAATTGATATAACAGTACATAAAAATATTAATAAAAAGAAAACATTGTAGATAGTATAAAACTTCAAAAGCAGGGAATAATGAGACCAGAATGGGTATCCTAGTGAATCTTGTCATCTTCAATGTAGGTGTCTATACACTCAGACTTGATACTATCAATCATAACAGATTTGAAGAAAATCTGTTGATACCAAACAGCAATATAATAAACCAGATTCAAATAAGATCAGTCATGTTAAAACAGTATAAGTTACACAGGGCTTTAGATTAAGTTAATAGGAAATTAAAGGATGATTACCATACTACATCCTGATATTTTTGGGATAGCTGTTTGTGCCCTCGTGTAAGCAGACAAACTGGAACAGAATATAATTTATTTAAACAGAACGGTGAGAGGAACATGGGTTTTAAAACCTGATACACTGTTAACATACCCTGCCTTCTTTTTTTAGGCTTTTCCTCTCCTTTCACTTCCCCAGGATGTACTGTGCATTTTAGGTCCCAACAACTCCCTCAGTTTTTAGATTGGGGGACAACCTGCTATTTACCTAAGTGCTACCAAACCTTCTAAATCCTGGACTTGGTCTCAAGTTGTA